GGAGAGGGAAGAGTGTGTGTTATGGCTCGTGTGGTGAAATCAGATGACAACGTTTAGGAGTCAGTCCCTTCTTTCTATGATGTTCAATCCCAGGGACTGAACTCAGGGCGTCAGGTAGCAAATGCCTTTATCTGCTGAACCATCTCATTGGCCCTCATCCTTCTTAAATGTTCTTCTTGCTTTTTTTGTTGCTTTTTTGAGATAGGTTCTTACTAGTTGCTTGGGTATGCCTGGAACTCACCCATATTTCAAGGAGGACCTTAGTCTGTGATTGTTCTACCCCTAAGAGGCTAAGATTACAGGATTACAAACCTGTGCCTCTAAGTCCATCTACATTCTCTCTCTCTCTCTCTCTCTCTCTCTCTCTCTCTCTCTCTCTCTCTCTCTCTCTCTCTCTCTCTCTCTCTTTCTCTCTCATTCATGTCTCCCTGGGTACCCTCTTCCAGGCCTGAATAAATGTAATGACTTCCTTATTCTCTTTTCAATGTTGATGTTTATCATGACTACCAATTGTTAAACATTGAAAAGTATCAGCATAATGAGATTTCTGTGTTCTCACTACCCAGATTCAGTAATCAACTCATTGCCTCCATCATTTAAAGCTCAGATCATATTATGCTTTTTCCATTGTGTAAAATACTACTAGTAGCCTTTGCATTATGTTTCCAATTAAATCACAAGCCCTTTCTGTGTACTTTATGGCCCTCTGTGATCTAGCTCTCCTTCCCTTCATGTCATCTTCTCTCTCCTCAAATTAGGCTTCAGGCAGCCTTCCTTTTGAGGTTCATAAGCTAAAGTCCAAGAAAGGCAGGCAAGCCAGACAAGTCCACACGTGGCAAGCCTAGGATACAGGTTCTTTGACTCTAGATGCCTCTGTATCGAATTGCTTTTATGTCTAATTTAGAGATTACATGACAGAATGGAACTAACATTGGATTTTGAAGTCATATACACATGATGCAAAATCTGACCCTTATTTACTACCTGGGTTTGTTTCCTCATATCTAATATTGGGTTGAATAGCATGTTACTCTTCTTGTGAGGGCTAAATGAAATGATTCATGAAGTCTACCTAGTTCAGTTAACACTTAGAAGCAGTTGTGCAGCAAGCTTTGCTGTCGGCAGCATCTTACAAGTAATGACACAGAGACTTCTTTTCAATATGAAACCTTAGCTTAGGCGTGTCCCATTAGCTCTTATATTAACCAATTTCTATTCATCTGTCTTTTGCCCCGCGGCTTTTTCCCTTTCTTTCATTCTGTATGTCTGGCTTCCTCCATGTCTTGCAGGGGTCTGACACTGTGCCTAGATTCATTGCCTACTTCCTCTCTCTCTGCTTGGAAGTCTTACCTGTACCTCTTGCCTAGCTATTGGCCTTCAGTATATTAGTACACCCAGAAAACATGTATTCACACAGAGTACAACTATCCCACAACAGAGTTTACACTGTTCTCACTCACATGACTTTTAGAAAGATGGTTTTATACCAGGTGTGGTAGTACACACCTTTGATCTCAGCACTTGGGAGGCAGAGGCAGGTGGATCTCAAGGTCAATGTGATTTGCGAAGAGAGTTCCAAGATAGCCAGAGCTACACAGAGAAACCTTGTGTCAAACAACAAATGAAAGAAAGGAAGGAAGGGAGGAAGGGAGGAAGGAAGGAAGAAGGATGACAGATGGCTTTAGGAGGTGGTGATTAAGTAAGCAGTCTTGTATCATGTTATGTTCCCTAAAATTTTTATGGCATTTACTTATTTTTATTCCCACAGAGATTTGTGTGGAGAGAAGCAATCTATAGGTATGTTGCTTACCAAATTTTCTCATTCTTCATCGCAAAATGGTGTGAAAGTTTATAATTCAAGAAGACTCATTTCTTAAAAGAATGGCATACCTCTTGGGGGGACTAAATTGCTTCATAAAGAGTTCCTGGATATAATAAAAGAAGATTCTCTTGCATATTTTTATTACTGACTTTTAAAGATTAAATTTTACTTATGATTATTATATGTGTACATAATGAGTACATGGGTGCATATGCCACAACATGCGTGTAGAGATCAGAGGACTTACCTGTAGTCTTCATTTTTTCCCTCCCACCTTACAAGTTCAGGGATCATTTGCCAGACTTGTTAAACAAGCTCTTTTACCTGCTGGCCATATTCTTGGTTTTTAAAGCCAACTCTTTGAATACCCTTTTCTTCTCTTCATCATTTGTAATTACTATCCTTTTTTATTTCTCCAGTACAATAAGGTATTTCTGTATCCTTCAGGTTACATTTGTACAATGTTCACTAAATACAAGGACAGAAAATACAAACTGGATGGTGGTAGCACATGCATTAATCCTAGCACTCAGGAGGCAGAGGGAAGTGAATTTCTGATCTTCAGGCTAGCCTGGTCTACACGGAGAAAAAAATCCATTTATTATATCTTGAAATCTGAGATTCTATATGTAGAATGTTATGCTTTTCACATATAAGCTGCATATCTTCATTTAAGATTTGGTGTCCTAGTTATTAATATACTTAAAAAGTTTTCCAAATATCTATTAGTAATAGTCTCATACAAAGATGTATTCTGCTAAATGGTATTTCTAAATTAAGGGGTATATTATATATTAGAATTCAACTGGTTCACAGACTATGGTCCAGTTAGTCTGACAATGGCTGTCTGCCAATGAAAAGTCTAAGAATCCAGTAGTTGTTCAGTCCACGAGACTGGGTTTTGCAGCTGGTCTTTATCCTCCAGAATCCTGAAGAAGTAGGCTCTAATGCCAGTGAAGGGATGAACTTGCAGCAAGTGCGAGCAGCGAGAACAGAAGCTTCCTTCTTCCAAGCCCTTTATGTTGGCTGCCACCACGTGTGACCCAGACGGAAGGTGGATCTCCCCTCAAAAGGTGCAGATTCAAGTTGGGTCATTTAGTTAAGAAAAATCTCTCATGGCTGTACCAAGCTGCTTGGATTTTAGTTCATTCCAGATGCAGCTGAGTTGACAACCAAGAATCTCCATCCCCAGTCGGGGCTTTTATATTAGTTGCTTCCATTGCTGAAGTTGACTTAACACTGGCCTCTGCTGGTTTAATTCTGCACTGTGGATAAAGTGCACTTAATCCTGCATCCTCTGTGAAGAACTCTAGAGGAGCGTTTGTTCTCCTTCTACTTTCCCTCGCCTTGTCTGCACATCCATTCCTTCACTGGCTTTCGAGCCTACTTCTAAGGGATTCCAGAATATATAGAAGATCGGCTGAGACACCCAGCGTATATATGCATATGTACATATGGAGAGAGAGGTTCGTTCCCTAAATTCTGTGATTCTAGAGAACCCTAATTCACCTACTATTCCCAGTCAGTGAAGGCCTACTAGATTCAACCACTGACCTACTAAACTCAACCAGTGACCAATCAGAATCGATTGAGACAGTATTGACTGTTGATCTAGAGCAGGGGTTCTTAACCTGTGGGTCATTATGATTCATGGCAGTAGAATAGTAGTTACAAAGTAGCAACAAAAAGTATTTTATGGTTGGGGTCACCACAACATGAGGAGCTGTAGTAAGAGTCACATCATTAGGAAGTTTGAGAACCACTGGTCTAGAGGGTGACATCAACATTGATTCAGACCACAGACCTCATGTCAACTCCATGTATGTGTATCACTAACATACAAGCTTTTGTTTCCTGTACTAATGTTGAGACAATTACCTCCAGCTTCCCAGAAGCCACGAGCCCACAGATACTTATAGGACTCTACAGACAGCTTTCTGAGCAAAGATATTTAGCAGACTGGAAAGAAGTGAGTTCACCTCAGTGTATCTTTAAAGCACAGCAAAAGTTTCATTAGGGGTTAAGTTTCCATTATCACTGCACTCTCCCCCACTTCCTGAGGAGACTCGAACTTGGAACAAGCGTTCCACTGCCCTTCTGGGTCTTATACAATTGTAGAAAATGACGTAAGTCTGAGGATGCTCCCAGCAAATGAGAGTGAGGAGGTGGTCCTGCATGAGGACTATTGTGTCAGACATTCATGAGCTCTGCCTTTACCCTGTGTGGGCTTTAATAAATAAATGTTCATTAGGAACAAATAATTTCTAGTTTGGGAATGTCTGATAAAGCTACGGCTTTGCTGGGCGGTGGTGGCGCACGCCTTTAATCCCAGCACTCGGGAGGCAGAGGCAGGCGGATCTCTGTGAGTTCGAGGCCGGGCTGGACCGATAGCCTCCAAAACAATACTGAGAAACCCTGTCTCGAAAAACCAAAAAAAACAAAAAAAAAACAAAAAAACAAAAAAAACAAAAAAACAAACAAAAAAAACTACGGCTTTATTTTCCTAGTTGATTTTGCTTTAGACCAAAGTTTAAATAATTTAAAATCGGCTAATGAACTTGTCAACAGGACCACTTGAAAGGGTAAGAAAAGATAAACCTGTGAAGGTGGCAAAAATATTAATGGACGATCCACAATTAACAGAGAGTTAAGAGATACTGGCTTGCTGCTTTGACCCACAGGAACAGGAAATACAAATGCAATGGCATTAACATGACTTTAATACTTTCTGTATTTATGGGTGTGATTTGATTTAGATCTGTAGATTCATAAGAAATGCTGAGGCCTTGGGACAATGGGGACTGAGAGTCCCCTGCGGTCTAATTACATTAAATCACAGGGTCCCAGAGTTTGCTATTGACACAGCACAGCGTCTTGCTTTGGGGACCATTCCAGCCCCTTAGCCCCTCACCTCGGTTATTCCTGGCTCCTTGTGCAACAAAGTTAACGTCCCCTCCCTTCCTTCCCGCTCTTCTCTTCTCACCCAGTAAATCTTTTCCTCCGTTCTCCTAAATTTTAGAGATCGTTTAGAGATGAGCGAGAAAAGGAGCCCGACGCCGACGCGCCGCTCAATCGCGCAAGCCCCGCCTGCGGACGCCCGGAACCCGACTTCCGGGTTCCGCCTCCTCCCCGCCCTCCTCCCCGCCCCCCGGGGCGTACTTCCTCTGACGCAGCGGGTCAGAGGTGACCGGCGACGACATGTCGGCGGGCGGCTCGCAGCGTCTGTAGAGCAGGCTCTGCGGTGTGACAGGGACCGGGCGGAGGCGGCTGGGGACGGCCGAGGACGGGAGCGGGTGGCCGGGCGCTCAGGGGAGCACTGCACGGGGCCACGACCGGGAATGCGCCCCAGCCCGCCGAGCAGCCGGGAAGGCGAGCCCCGCGGGAGCGCTTCATGCCGCCCACCGGCATAGAGTCGTCCAGGATGAACAGGAAGAAAGGAGACAAGGGCTTCGAGAGCCCGCGGCCGTACAAATTATAAGTACCCCCACCCACCCAGCCCCGCATCTCCCCCTTCTTTGGTTCTGTTTTCATGGTTACCGTGAAGGGCTTGATGGGTCTGGGGAAACCAGGGGACGCGATGCCTGCAGGGTGCAGACGTCTTGAAGGACAGGGCTTATCCCGCAGACTTGGGCCCCCCTGCAGGCTCCTACACCCCCCTCAAAAGTCTTCCTGTCGTTGTTGACCTTTCTGTGACTCTTGATGGGGTTAAAATAAGCCGGTTACTCCTTAAGTAGTCTTTGAAGATGCGTGTTAGCAAGTTTGCCGTGAGTTTTCTAAGCGGCTTAGAACTGAGTCCTTGTTCGTGCTTGCATACAGTTAATGTTTTCGTTTACTAATAGTCGTTTTCCTTTCCTCCCCTCTCTTTCTTAATATACAACCCATCAGGTCGTCTGCATCAACAACATAAACTTCCAGAGGAAATCTGTTGTGGTAAGGTCATTCCCAGTCATCATTTAACACAGTTTTAAGTCAGCCTTCTCACAGTTCTTAAGAGACTCTGCAGTCTTCCTGGCGATGGGGCCACAAGAATAAGGAATCAGAACTCAAGTCGGTTTGATTGTCATATCCTTTTGCTATGTGTGGTACCTCAGTTTTCCCTGCTTCTCTCTTTCTGATGAAAATGTTTAATGCATTAAGTATGTTGTGGGGCAGAAAATCTTTACAATCAAGCTCTTCCATGTTGTGCATTAGACAAGACTAGGCCACGAACAAGTTAAAATGTACACACATTGACTTGACTTGGTGTCTCAGAAACCTGACATGGTTTAGGTAGTACTGCTTTGTGGGGTGGTTTTGAATAAATTTTTTTCTTGAGATTTGTTAGATTTATGATTAACCAGTTAAACCTAATATGGGGGGAGGCAGGGAATCATTGAAAACCTAAGTACGTTATTGTACTTTCTCTGAAGAACCTATATGAATTAAGTAGATTAGATCTTAGAGTTGATTTTCTTTGAAAGATTGCATCAGCTTCCTCATTAGAGGTATGTTTGTGTATGTTCAAGCTTAGGATTAGCTGTAAAGATAGAAAGCAGTCAGGATTTTAGATTTGTAGAGATCCCAAAAAAGTCATTAGAGGCAGCTGCTCATTTATGGAATTGCTTGCAGAATTTGCCACAGATTGCTACTTATCTTGAGTTTAGGGGGTAGAACACATTAGATGGATTATGTAGAGGACTTGGAAGAATTAGGGAGTATATTTAAAGATGTTATTCCAACAGTATGGGGAAGACATGATGGAGCTCTCCAGCTTAGCACTATTGCAGTGGAGCAGAGTCAATGTGATTGAATTATGTTAGTTGAATCGTTACGTCAGTAAGACATTCCTTAAGGTGTGTGTATATTGAGTCTTCACTGTAGCCTCGTGAAGTAGATAAGAACTCAATCCTAACTTTATAAATGAGGGAGGTGAGAATATTGAGTTTAAAGTGAGAGTAGGTAGATGAAATAATAAAAGAAAAAGCTACCGTCCACATGTAGTCTAGCAGAAGAACCTCTGGTGGTTATTGTTCACATTTTTGTGCCATTACTTTCAGTAACCACAGAGATTTCTGGTTGCTTGGATATATAATCCTGGAATAGAGAAATAATCAGTCCAGAGCTACTCTTTACCCGTTCACCATAATAGCCCTTACTCCACAGGAACAGGGACCTAATTACTACAATATATACTATAGTGCTAAGCAAGTAAACTTAGTCCTACTCTAATATACTTGATCTATGATGCCATTTAACTACATGACCTCCAAAGATTTCCTGCCTGACTATTGCACTCTGGTGATGTTTGAGAGTGTGGATATTCTGTCAATTCAGGAGAACCAAGCTATGATGACCCCAACAAGGTTGTGAAGATTAATGGGCCTCATATGCAAGTTAGGGCCTTATGTCATTAGTGAATGGTTTTCCTGAAATATACTCCCTTTGTATATTATCAGCCTTAGTAATTAAGACAATTTGGGGTTAGGCATAGTGTCACACAACTTTAGTCTGAACACCAGAGGTAGAGGCAAACAGATCTCTGAGTTTCAGAGACCTCTCCATGGAGAGTTCCAGCCCAGCTAAGACTACATGGAGGAAAGGGGAGTCTATGCATTTAGGGATTCCTGCTGTACTGGCTCATGGTTTATACTTTTCTTTTTCCAACACAGGATCTTGCTATGTAGGCCAGGCTAACTTCAAACTTGTGGTCATCCCCCATCTGCATTTCCCAAGTTCAAATGTTACAAGCGTGTGTTACCACCAGCTTAGTTTGTACTTGTACATACACACTTTTCTTCACCGTATTTTGGCGTTTGCTCTTTCTGATGTCAGCCATTGATCCATGCTGATGGTCTGACTTAAGAATGTTTCACTCTTGTTCGGGAACTGGGAACATAGTGGCTGCAGAGGTGCCATGTTTTTGAAGAGTTGCTCTATAAGTTATACAGAAAATATTCATGAACTTTATTTAAATCCCTTGCACCCAGAGCACTATAGAACAGTAGGAACAGATAGGTCTATATCTAGGGAGCATTTTCTTAGCTGTTTTGATTTATGTATAAAAGTTAACAGTTAAGATGCTTTTCCAGTAGTACCTGTCTCTGTGTCCATGCGTAGCATCTATGTACATGTTTCAGGTAGCACTCTTTCCCTCAAAGTTGGTATCATCATAAGAGGGAACCTCAGAAGGTGGTGTGGCCCCTGTGTGTAGAACTGGCCATTATGTCCATTCCTCTGTACTCACTGACTGCTTGTAGCAACTCTTGTTGGAGCCTCTGAAGTCTTTGTACTCACTACATCTGAAACGTGCTATGCGCTCCTATAGTTCATGTGTGAGCATAACAGTTTACACTCAGGAATATGAAACCATTGGTCATGTGTCCCATATTTCACCTTCTTTCCCATTTGAGTCAGTGCAGGATGCTGGTACGAGAATTCAGTGGTCACTTGAGTCATGCTGGTTTCTTTAGATGAACTCCGTGCCCCTCTGGTAACATGGCAGGAGTGTATAGCACCGGGGACTGCCTGGCAGGGAATCCGTCAGCATTTGGAAGGAACGCCGCTTCTGCCTGTGTTTGCACTCTCTGGCAGGACTTGCTGAGACATATTTCCTCACACTTGTTAGTTTCATGTAGATTTTTAAGCACACATTCTTTGTGCCATCAGATTGTTTTATATCAACCTCCTGGTTGTGACATTTTCCTGTATCATTTTCTGTTCCTCAAGCCTGTTTTGGTTACAGTCTGCCTGGAAATTCTTGTATTTGAGACCAGTGAGTGTTTTCACTTTTCTAGTCAGTGGCTTACTTACCAATGAATTACACAGATAAAGGAAGCACCAGTCTGGTAAAATCTATATAAATTGTACTCATTGAGCCACTGGTCCAATTAATGTTTGAAATTAAGACTCTTAGAGAGCATTCAAGTATATGTTGCTATTTGGGATTTTATCTTTGGAGGTAACATTTATAAATAGCAATTTGAGAAATAGGCTCTAAAACATTCCAGCGTTTATAACAGCTATTCTTTATCTTTACAGGGATTTGTGGAGCTGACTATATTTCCTACAGTTGCAAACTTGAATAGAATCAAGTTGAACAGTAAACAGTGTAGAATTTACCGAGTCAGGATCAATGACTTGGAGGCTGCTTTCATTTATAATGATCCAACCTTAGAAGTTTGTCACAATGAGTCAAAACAGTAAGTTACACACCTTAAGAACTTGATGCTTCTAAGTCATTCTGTCAGTTGTTTTTAATGATTGCTGGTTAATGTTTTTCAGCCAGTTTTCCACTATTACAATAGATCTGTATGTCGTATAATTTCTGATGGTTTTACTGCACTGAAAATTTGGCTCAAGGATTTTTCCCACTTTTGTTCAGTTTAGCAAGTTATTAAATTTCCCTTCCTCAACCAGGCAGTGGTTCCGCACGCCTTTAATCCCAGCTCTCAGGAGGCAGAGGCAGGCGGATCTCTGTTAGTTCGAGGCTAGCCTGGTCTACAGAGCAAGTTCCAAGATAGCCTCCAAAACAATACAGAGAAACCCCGTCTCAAAAAACTAACAGTACCCCCCCCCAAAGAAAAAATTCCCTTCCTCATACATTCCCAGAAATATCTGGGAAGTTTCAATACATTTATTTTGGTTAATGTCTTAACCAGTTTTCTGTTTTAATGTTAAATAAGTGTTTACTTCATAAATACCAGTAAGTCATTTCAGTAAATTAGATGGTCACCATCGTCTTCAGACCAGAGAGACTTTAAAATAGTCTGTCAAATGTTTGTACTATTTTAAAGAATCTTGTGAAATCCTATATCCATATCCAGCTGAATTTGAGAGCATTTTTAGCACTGGGTCATATTATTTCTGTGCTTCTCAGTGTGTTGTGGTGGGATGCCAAATTCAGTCTTAAACTCTTCAGTCAAGATTGTGTTTTAGTTGGCCTAGGATAGTGTCATATTGCCTTAATGCAGCATTCTCAAAAGTGTATTCCCGATAAGCAATATCACCATTACCTAGGAACTTTTTAGATCTGTCAAATCTCAAGTATTGCCCAAACCTACTGAATCAGACTGCAGAGTCCCTCAAGCTGAGCTTAGCAAGCCTTCTAGGTGATTCTGATAGGGTTTATAGCTCAAGAATACTATAGCCAGGGACTAGAAGATTTGGGGACCCTGGTCTCATGCTTAGACATAATTGTGATGTTAATAATCATTGGTTTAGAATCTCTCAAGCTCAGAAAGGAGATAGGAAAATGGTGTTGGAAAAATCCAGGGACCCTCTGAATTATTACTGTAAGGTCTCTTTTCATGAAGGTGAGTTGCTAAAAATCACAGTGCTTGTACTACTATAGTACCACCGGCATAGAAAGACTCGCTACAAAACTATATGCATATCCAATTCTGCTAAAGAGAATAAAATCTGCTATAGAGTAGTAAACTGTATTACCACTAATGAGTGGAAGACAGGCCTGTAAAACACAATGTCTTGCCAGAGAATAGATTACCTACCCTGTTCACCCTTGAACTCTGTGTTCATGATGGACTTGGCGGTTAACCGCAGAATACAGTCTGTTTTTACCAGGAGTTTGTTGGGAGTGCCCAGCACTCAGAGGGAATTGCCTGGGATCTGGAATGGAGTATCACAGGAGCAATGGGAACCTTGCGTGTTTAGGAAGTCAACTTCACTTTGCTGTGTATTTGAAGATAACCTCATCTTTTAGTGTATGGACAGCCTAAGCAAGTGCTAAGATAATGTTTTCTCCAATGAAGTAGATGATGAATCAACTTTCAGTGTGAGGGGGAAAAAGTTATAAAGAAAATGTTTCAACATTAGGCAGTTGGTGGATACAGAATATACTTTATAGTTTCTTCCAATTCATAGCAGAACTTAGTAGGCTAGGTCACTCAGTAAGGGTTTAACTACTTTTCTTGCTGGCTGTCTCTTTAGGAGACAGGGTGTTTATTTGTTTTCAATCAAGGTCTCATTGTGTACCTCAGGCTGTTCTGGAACTCACTGTGTTGACCAGGATGGCCTTGAACTTGAGGTAATTCCCCTGTCTCATCCTCTCAAGAACTAGAATTATAGCCTTCTGCCACCACAGCTAGCTTTGTCTTTATTAGCTGATGTGTTCAAAATGGGATTGCAGTTGGCTTTAGAGAACAAAGACTCTAAAATGTAACTGATTAGTTTGATTAGTTCCTATAAAGGGTAAAGAAATCAGTTAATATGGTGTTACTTAATTACTATCCAGTTCTTAAGAGGACTTGCTTCTCAAAGTCCAGTTGTCATAACAAAGGAAAAAACTTTTGTTTATTTATTTTGGTGGATCTTGTGTAGCCCTGGATGGCTTAGACTCACTATGTAGCTAAAGATGAATTTGAACTTCTGACCCTCTTACCTACCTAGTGCTGAAGTTACAGTTGTACCCTAGTTAATACTTCCATGTACCTGGCAACACTATAGTTTGTAGACTCAGAACAAAGACAGGAACCTCAGTTATGTCAAAGAAACTATTTTGCTTGTATGAAATACTTCTTTATTTTATAAAATACTTTAATAAAGTATAAAATACTTTAAATACATTAGTATTTTAAGAAATTGGTCTTTGATATATGTGAATATACGTATACTCATGTATGTAGGTGTATACCTTGTGCATTCTTTACATTTATATTAGAAAAATAGTAATTTTGGCGTTCCGGAGTTAATGAAGGATGTGAACTTTAATAATTCTTTCTAGCTGTTGGGTTTTTTGTTTTTCTTTTCTTTCCTTTTCCTTCCTCTCTCCCTCCCTCCTTCCCTTTTTGTTTTGAGCACAGGCTGTCCTTGCATTCACAGAGATCCTCTTGCCTCTGCCTCAGAGTGCTGGGATCAAATGCATTCTCCACCACATCTGTCACATTTTTAGTTCCTCACATGGGGAGTAGCATCAGGGGTGCTTAACTTGGCTAAAAGGAATTCTTAACAAATGGTGTAAGAAGACATAGTACTCAGACATAGTTGATGTGCATTGATATTTAGAAAGATCTTGGTGAAATGTGTGGCTTATTGTTATTACAAGTTGGCTTTTTATCTCCCCAGGAGAAATCTCAATTATTTTTCCAATGCCTATGCAGCTGCGGTTAGTGCTGTGGACCCTGATGCGGGGAATGGAGAACTCTGCATTAAGGTTCCATCAGAACTCTGGAAGCATGTCGATGGTAAAACAGCAGGAATGTATTACTGTACAGTGAAATAAATCCTATTAGATTTAGAGACCAGAAAGGTAGTGATGCCTAAACGGTAAACTAACCACTGGAAATGTGCAAAAGGGGTTGGAAAATGACTTCCTTCTTTAAGGTCTTGGATTTATAGCAATGTGTTAGGTACGGGCTGTTACAAAAATAACTGGTTGCTCTGTTTTCTGTAGTGCCTGGAAACCAGGGCTTTGTAGATGCTAGGGATGCTCTCTTTTATTAGGCTTTGCCACCAGCTCCTTTCATTGTTTTTGTTTTGTTTCTGTAATGAAAAGTACTTTTAAAATCGTATGGATAGAGCATGGGTCAGGTACTGTCACATCCATTTGAAATTGTATCACTTTTGCAGCATTAATGGTCCCAAAAGTCTTCTGGTTCAATTCCTCTTTGTTATATCAAAGAACATTCTCAAGTCCCACAGTTAAGTTACCCGAGCTAATCTGTGGTAGACCATTCTCAAGTCCCACAGTTAAGTTCCCTGAGCTAATCTGTGGTAGACCATTCTCAAGTCCCACAGTGTAAATTCACTGAGCTAATCTATGGTAGACCATTCTCAAGTCCCACAGTTAAGTTCCCTGAGCTAATCTGTGGTAGACCATTCTCAAGTCCCACAGTTAAGTTCCCTGAGCTAATCTGTGGTAGACCATTCTCAAGTCCCACAGTTAAGTTCCCTGAGCTAATCTGTGGTAGACCATTCTCAAGTCCCACAGTTAAGTTCCCTGAGCTAATCTATGGTAGACCATTCTCAAGTCCCACAGTTAAGTTCACTGAACTAATCTGTGGTAGACCATTCTCAAGTCCCACAGTGTAAGTTCCCTGAGCTAATCTGTGGTAGACCATTCTCAAGTCCCACAGTGTAAGTTCCCTGAGCTAATCTGTGGTAGACCATTCTCAAGTCCCACAGTTAAGTTCCCTGAGCTAATCTGTGGTAGACCATTCTCAAGTCCCATAGTTAAGTTCCCTGAGCTAATCTATGGTGGAGTAGAAGCTAGAACTTGGGCTCTTGCCATATGTCCTTTATGCTTTGAGTTTAACCTCTCTGAAGTATTATTTTCCTTTCTTTAAAAATTTAGCCATTACAATTATTGTTTGAAAACTTCTGTCTACCTTTATTTTCATAAAAGTCAAGGAAAGAAGAAAGCACTTCATTTTCATGTGTTTGGGAACAGATGAGAAAATAGTGGGATTACTCAGTTTTAGAACGCATGTAGTTTTTTGCATATTCATGGGAGAAGTTAAAATAACCACTTTTAACAAAATGCTAACAGGCTTTTTTACTATACGGAAATAAAATATAACTTAGAAACATAATTGATGATGCAATTTCATGAGTAATCCTCCCATCCTACCTTCTGTCCTTTGCCATCCCAAGTCAAATAGAGTTAACAATTTGGGAGAAAATACGAAAGGAGAAAAAACTTGAAAAGTAGAATTGCAGTTGGATTTGAAAGACCTTAAAGCATCCATATTAGGGGCCGTGAAATTTTTTCTGAAAACGTTACATGTCAGAAATGTTGAGAAGAGCCTGTGATACACCTGGTACTGTGCTTTGTGAGAAAGTGCAAGAGACACATTGGTTGGAGGCACACCATCAGCTAGTGTAAGTGGAGACAGTAAAAGCCCACACTGTGGCAAGTGGTATGGCTTCTTTGTTTTATATAGTGGGATTTGATCCCAGGCCTCTAGTATCTAGGCAAGTGCCGTACCACTGGAGCTGCATCCCAGCCAGCTCTCTGGTGTTGTAGGATAATGTCCAGGCTGTGGTTCTCATTGTAGTATCTTCCCTATATAGGCTACTGCTGCTTATTTATGTCAGTGAATGTATATGTTTATTTGTTGCAGAGTTAAAGGTTCTGAAGATACATATCAATTTTTCTCTGGATCAGCCGAAAGGAGGTCTTCATTTTGTGGTACCCAATGTAGAGGGAAGTATGGCAGAGAGAGGTGCTCATGTCTTCTCTTGTGGGTATCAGAATTCTACAAGGTAGATTATCAGTTCATATATTTCAGTTAACTTCATTTTTATGTATTGAATATGCAGTGTATTTATTCATTTAGAATGACAGGTATAAGCATAATTTCTTTTTGGGAACTTGACTCTTTTGTTTGTTTTGTTTTGTTTTGTTTTTGTCCCCTAAGCTGCTTCTGAATCATACTGTACTGGATATTCCTTCTGTCTTATCATTTTTTTTCTTCATCTTCATCTCTTCCTTTAGGGAACAATCCTGAAATAATATATCAGCTTGATTCTTTAACTTTGTAGTGAAATTTGGCATACAGGAAGCTGTACACATTTAAATGCAAAAGCGTAATAACTTTTCACAAATGAACAAACCGGTTGAGCTTCCACTTAGATCAACACAAATTACCTCTTGGCAGAGTGTCTGTCCTCTGTTTCAGAATCTCCCCCCCCCCCTTCATTCTGTCTCGTTACTCTGATGGTTCTTGGTTTTGAACTTAGTACATGAACTCATTCATGGGTTATAGCTAGCTTTTTTTGTTGTTTAACATTGATAAATTTACCTACATTTTTATGTGAAATTGTAATCCATTCCCATGCTCTGTACTTTACTACTTGTTATTGAAATATTTTGTAATGTGAGTACTTGGCTCATATTATTAATTCTTTTGAGTCAAAGATTGTGTTTTGGAATTACTTATATTTTGGTGCCTTGTACTGATTTTATAGTAAGACCTGACCTGAGATTTGAAGTTTAAGGTATTTCTGTGCTGTTAATCTATTTGTAGATTTTGGTTCCCGTGTGTTGATTCATACTCTGAGTTATGTACATGGAAATTAGAATTTACAGTAGATGCTGCAATGGTAGCTGTATCCAATGGAGATTTGGTGGAGACAGTGTATACCCATGATATGAGGAAGAAGACTTTCCATTATATGCTTACAATTCCTACAGCAGCATCCAATATCTCCTTGGCCATTGGACCTTTTGAAATACTTGTAGATCCATATATGCATGAGGTAAGTCTTCTCACCCATCTTGTTCTCTACACTCGTACTCCTTAGGAAAAGGAGGCCCTAATAAAGGAGTTTTACCTTTAACTGTCAAGATTATCACTAAAAAGAAAAGGTCTCGTGTCACATTTGCTTGTAAGGAAAACCATTTTGGTCAGTTTGTTGACTAGGATTCTAACTGGTAAACTGGTCATTCTGTGTCTCAGTATGGTAAAGTGAAAATAGATCTTACAATTTTTTTAAAATAAGGTCTCGGGTGCATCATAGACTACCCTTGAAGTCATGTGTTCCATTGTACTCTGCACTTTAATTTCCAAATTGCATATTTTCAGCTTCATGGAACTGTGACAAAAAGGATACTAATAATGGCAGTTAATTTTAGAAACCAAATTAACACGATAGCCAGGATATGCTTGAATTACTACTACTACTACTACTATTTTTCATGCTAAGCATTGGGTTAGAAAACAGATCAAAGTTTTCAAAAATTTAAGATAATTTACATATTTACTTACGTTTCTCTAGTCATAAATATTTTCTGCTAGCCTTGACTTCACTTGGGGTGTCTACTTTTTTATCGTGACCTTTCAGACTATTTTAGGTTTATTTTGTTTTGAATTTCTGAGACAGTCTTACAACATAGCTAAGGCTTTCCTCAACTTCATGACCATCTTTCTGCCTCAACTTCCTGAGTACTGAGGCACGCACCACTGCATCTGGCTTTTATCTGTCAAACTCTTGTCTATTGTGACGCGATTGTTTATGATATCATCTTCCAGATGAGACTGTTTTGAGACAGTCTTACTGTGTAGCTCTGGCTGGCTTTGAACTTGTGATCCTCTGTTTACTGCTCTAGAGGTGATGGGAACTGGGAGAATACAGCTGATAAGTAAGGCTGACTAATATAGCTAACTTTATTCAAAGCATCAGACAATTTATACTCTAGTTAAGTAGAGTGACATGAGCAAAGGGTACTTTCACAAGGACAAGAGGCATGTGGTGATCAAGCCATTTGTGGCCACATGTAGAGACATATAAACAACAATAGCCAGTTGTAATGAATAATCTGAAGTAAACTCACTCCTATTCTGTGCACCTGAGAAGGACACAAAAGCCTATTCCAAGAACAGTTCCATGTTTTTGAAGCACCTGACATCACAAGACTCGTGGCTTGGCTTCTTGGGGTTTTCTCACAAGCACACATCTCCATTCTTGGAACGTGGACAGACAATCTCAAGAGCTGGGTTTACAGATTTGTGCCACCCTCCCTGACTTCTTCGTTCATTTGGCATAGAAATGTTTCATGAGACAGTCTATGATACTTGTTTGGAATTTAGTGACTATGAAAACCGTGACTATTATTTCTACCTTGGCTCTTTTACCAGTATGTCTCGCCAGTATTCAGGGTGTAGCTGAAACATTAGAGGGTGGCTAGAGTGACAGTTCTTGGGGTGCAGATAGTTCTGATTAGCATTAGTTTATGCTGATCTCACTGTGTAGCCCAGGCTGGCTTCGGCCTCCCAAGAGTTAGGATTACCATCATAAGCCACCATGCCAAGCAACATAAACTATTAATTCCTAGATTCAAGCGCTGAGATTTACTACTATTTGACTGGAATGTGAAAAGTATTGGGTTCAATCTTCAACATTGTACACATACACAAAAATTATTAAAACACTACTATAAACATGCAGTATTTGCTAAGTTTAGACACATGAGTAAGAGATTACGCTAAGCCTCAAATTTTAATTCTTGTTTATGTAGAAGAGAAAAAATGTAATTTGGAACCAGTTTTTATTTTCCTTGTGTGTAAGCTTTTAATAAGCTTACATAATCCATTTTAAATTTAGTTTTGAATACAATGAAACATTTTGTAAACCTGATCTGAAAAGCCCACTAATTTTACAACAGCTGTTTTCAACATTATGAAATGTATTAAAAAACTAAGTATGTCCTTTTTTGAGATGATTTTCCTTTTTATTTGCAGGTTACACATTTTTGTTTGCCCCAGCTTCTCCCATTACTTAAACATACCACGTCATACCTTCACGAAGTTTTTGAATTTTATGAAGAAATTTTGACTTGTCGCTATCCGTACTCCTGTTTTAAGACTGTCTTCATTGATGAGGCTTATGTTGAAGTGGCTGCTTATGCTTCTATGAGTATTTTTAGGTTAGTGTCTCTTCGAATGGGAAATGCCTGAATTAGTGTATTGATAAAAGGTGAAGCTTCCTCCATGAGGAAGTAACACATCCTACTGCCTTCCTCCAGAGTTATCATTCACATTTCCAATTCTGGTTTAGTTCTTAATGTTTGTAAATGTGTAGCTCACACATTTGTGGGTCGATAATGTGCCTTTTTGGTAGCACTGTAAAAATGTATTGGTATCAATTTGTTGTCAAAAACAAAAGAAATTCTTTTTCTTTGTTTTATCCCTCCTTTTCTGGTTCCAAATTTGTATGTTTTATTTGTCAGGGCAGTTGTTTTACTTTCTTGTCCCTAAAAGTTCTCATGTGTCATGTGAGAAACTAATATTATGCATTCTCCAGAACACAGTTGTAAAAACTGAATGGAACAATATATTTAGAAGTACAAAACAGAATGCCAAAATTTACTAGACACTAGATAAAGGGGTTGTTTTATTTTTGCTATTGGTTTTCTGTTTGGGTAGAAGTGTCTCCACACTATGTGTTTCAGACTGACTGTGTGCCAGACTGAACACTGGCTTACTGGAGCATGCTATTACATCCAGAGGGAGTAGGGATTCACACTCATTTCTTCCTGTCACTATTTTTTTTGTAAAATCAGTAAAAAACATTGTCATTGTGTTCCTTGCTTTAGACAGATTATGAATTTCAGATAACTTTTGAAAAGATTGGAAAACTCTGAGGAAGAATATTCTTGACTTTTTCCTTCTGTATTGAACTTGAACCTGAATCACTTTAGGAGTGCAGTTACTGTATTCTGACTGACTGACTGACTGTGCTTCCGTTGGTCCTGTCACTTCCCGTCTTGGCTTTCAGCACAAACCTTCTGCACAGTGCCATGATTATCGATGAGACGCCTCTGACCAGACGGTGCCTAGCGCAGTCCTTAGCGCAGCAGTTCTTCGGATGCTTCATATCCAGAATGTCTTGGTGAGTAACGTCAGAACTGCAGTCGGAGCCCAAGGGTCAGGAAGCTGACCCCCCCCCGCTTCCCTTGTTCTCTGACAGTCTCTTGTAGGCCATGCTGTCCCCAAGCCTGCTGTGTACCTGGGCCTGGCCTGGAGCTGGCTGATGCTCGTCCTGCCTCCGAGGGGCTGACTCATACACGCCGCCGTGCACCACTCCGTTTCTCTCCTCCTGCATTATAAGCTGGCTGTTGCCCATGGTCTATAAATGTTGGGTTATTTTGAGAGGCTTTCTCAAAAAAAGAGAGCAATTAGTGAGACTTTATCTTGATTAGTTTTGGATCAGCTTTAATATCAGCTTTATAAGTCACTTTGTAATTCGTGGGGCATGGTAGCATATGCCTTTCACCTTAGCACTCAGCAGGCAGAGAGGCAGGTGGGTCTTTGTGTGTTTGAGGCCAGTCTGGTCTATGTAGCAAGTTCAGAAAAGCATCCCTCACGTGGTGAGACCCTGTTTCAAAAAAATCGAAGCAGAGAGTTACTTATATAATTTACCATAAAATAAGAATTCTGAAAAATAGCATCTTAGCTGTATAGAATGTAGATTTGAATGTATAGAAAGTTAATTAGAATTCAAATGTCAGTATTCAAATCTGTTGAAAAATCATGTGACATGATTTTTTTCTTTTATTTAAGTTAGAAACAAGCTTCTTTCTCATGTCAATCCCAGTTCTCTCTCCCTTCCCTCCTCCCCTACCCCCCACCAACCCCCTATCCCATCTCCTTTCTGCTCCCCAGGGAGGGTGAGACCTTCCATGGGGAATCTTCAAAGTTTGTCATATTATTTGGAGTAGGGCCTAGACCCTCCCCCATGTGTCTAGACTGAGAGTGTTCCTCTATGTGGAGTGGGCTCCCAAAGTCCATTGTGTACTAGGGATAAATACTCATCCACTAGAGGACCCAAGGACTACCCAGGCCTCCAAACTGACAGACATGTTCAGGGTTCTGGATCAGTCTTGTGCTGGTTTCCCAGCTGTCAGTCTGGGGTTCATGAGCTCTCCCTTGTTCAGGTCAGCTGTTTCTGTGAGTTTCTCCAGCCCGGTCTTGACCCTTTGCTCATCACTCCTCCCTCTGTGCAACTGAATTCCAGGAGTTCGGCTCAGTGTTTAGTTGTGGATCTCTGCTTCTGCTTCTATCAGCTACTGGATGAAGGCTCTAGGGTGGCATTTAAGGTAGTCATCAATCTCATTATCCGGGAAGGGCTTTTAAGGTAGCCTCTCCACTATTGCTTAGATTGTTAGTTGAGGTCATCCTTGTAGATCTCTGGACATTTCCCTAGTGCCTGATTTCTCTTTAAACCTATAATGGCTCCCTCTATTATGGTGTCTCTTTTCTTGCTCTCCTCTATTCTTCCCCTGACTCAATCTTCCTGTTCCCTCATGTCCTCCTCTCCCCTCTTCTTCTGTGGGATGATTTTTAAAGCAAATTATTATCTTCAACAAGTGATAATGGTATAAAGAATTTGCCTTTTAATTTTTAGATTCCTGCTACTTTTCTTGAAAGAAGGGAAAAAGTACATTTGGGGCTGGGGTGCAGCTCAGAGGCACAGTGCTAGACCCTCAGTTTGAGCCCCAACACTGAAAAAAGAGATAATCTTTATTTTCTTTAAGTTGAGATGAATTTCGTATTGTTGTCTGTTTTTATTTTTTTTTGAGAAGCGGTCTTTATACTGTAGCTCTGGATGGCTTAGAACTTACAATGTAGACCACTTGACCTCAAACTCCGCCTACTGATAGCTAGGATTATAGATGGAAGTCACCACACTTGGCTACTTACAGTTAATTTAACTCACTATACAAAAATTCCTTGAGATTGTAATTTCTTTTATATTTTAATGTAGGAGTTCACTTCTGTCTTACTTTTTACAAATTTAATGTTACTGTTGTGGGTGTATGATGGATATATGTGAGTTGATAAGTGGTTGGTGCCAATTGCCTTTTCTCTAGAAAAAGTACGAACATTAAACAGTTTAACTTAAGGATATTGTAAAACCTAGGTAGTGAAAATTATGTGTACATATCACAATAAAGAATGTAGGATTGGAGTTTACAGGAATTTGAACTCAGGACATTGTACATACTAGGCAAGCATTGATAATATATTCCCAGTCCAAGAATGTGGATTTTGTTTTGATCTTTTGAGATAGCATCTTACCTAGCCTACCATTTCCTTGAACTCAACTATGTAGCTGAGGGTAACCTTAAACTCTTGACCATTCTACCTCAGCCTCCCAAGTATGGAGAATATACCAGCGCACCTAGCAAATGTGAACTTTTGAATTAAGCGGCCCTGACTGTAGACAAGTACTTCTCTAGTGGCAAGCAGTCTGAACAGTGGTATTGAGAGAAAGTACTACAATCAGAGTGAATAAATACATTGCTGAATTCTACTCTAGAGGAGATTCTCAGAAGAACATTGTGGGCTTTTGATTTTCTTCTGAACTAAAGATCAAACCCAGGACTACAAGAGTGCTAGGAAGTCACTACCACTGAGCTACACTATTCCAGTACATACAGACACAAACTCTGTCCAAAAATATTCCTGTTGGGGATTCATACACTTAACACTAGTGTAGCCCATTCTTAATATTCAAAGAAGAAAACTGCCTATTTACAAGGTGTCAGTAATAAGTATTTGATTTTAATTAGTCTTAACATTAAAGATCCAGTCAGATGTGAAGAAGGTTGGGTGGACACTAAATTCCATTACTCTCTTTGACCCTGCTTGGACAAGTTTTAATGATAAAGCTCTATTGACTTTTCCTTAGGTCTGATGAGTGGGTTCTGAAGGGAATTTCAGGCTATATTTATGGACTCTGGATGAAAAAAACTTTTGGTGTTAATGAGTACCGCCACTGGATTAAAGAGGTAAACAAGAGCTGGATTTGTTTTCCACTCGTAAGTCAGTAATGTATGTTAGTGCTTGCCTGATTTCCAAGTCTCCTGTCCTTTGTTTTCTATGTATTTATTTAGTGTGTTGGGGCAGTGCACGTGCATGTGTGGTCAGAAGACAATTTACTGAGATTGTTGTGAGTCCGGGGGTTGAACTCAGGGGCTCAGGGCTTTTGACAAACTCTTTTACCCACTGAGCCATCTTGCTAGACCTCTTGTTCTCTGATGATTGCAAAATACTTGTAAAATTGCATTTGAAAAATAGCTCCTGTCAAGTAAAATGACAGTTACATCACAAAAGAAGATTGTAACTGTGCTTCCTCCATTTGTTTCCAAGTCTTAACTGGGTAAGGTGGTATGGGGCAGTGTCTACTTACTGGGGATAGTGGCACGTTACTCCTACTGTGTGAATGGGCCTTGCACAAAGGAGCTACTTATATGTCAGGTAGCCTTCAATCCCTGCCTTTATGTTCCCTGTCATTGCCTCATATTTTCCGAGCACTTAAAGATGAAGGGAAAAATAGGAAGTATTTTTGCGCATCTATTTCTTATGCACATAGATACTTTATTGGTTTCATTAGATTTAATTGGATCCTTAAATTCATTGTTTTCAGGTAGAAAAATCCCCACCTTAGTATCATTAAATTAGCATTCTGTCAGAAGAACTGTTAGAGGGGCCGTACACTTAGTACTGGTAGAGCCCATTCTTTACTTTAGAAGAAGGAAATAATAAAATAGTATTGTAATGAAAACAGTCCCATCTTTACATGTCCACTTTGCATATCAAGAAACTAAGGTACATAGAGGCTAAATTATTTAGTAAAGTACATGGCTAATCAACTGTAGTGCCAGGATACGGTTGGCTTTTAATCATCTACCACTTTCCTCTGCTGTCTATATTATTTAAACCATTCATGCATGTTTCATAGTTATGATGTTGTCTTTTCTTTTATTAAATGGCTATTATATGTTAGAGAAGAACAGAGGAGTCTTAAATTGATAGGTTGTGAACATAATTCAGTCTTGTTTCTTTTTAACTACTTTAGACCTCAGATTCAAAATACTGAGAGGGACTAAGTCAGTTTAGAAGGCAGTTTGGAGAGACTGAGAAGAGCCAGAAGGAAGTTACTGACCTGCTGTTGAGCCCTGAAGTCACAGAATATAGAGGAATTTTTAGGTCTTACCATTCAGCCAGCTTGTATAGCTTTGTAAAAAAAAAAAAGAACTTGTTGGGGAAGACCTGTGTATATGTCAATAAAGCACTGTTGGCCAATAGGGAAGCAAGATAGGTGGGACTAGGAGTCCAGGAGGATTCGGGGTAGGAGAAACACAAGGAGTCAAGATGTAACTGCCATAGGGATAAGAAGCCCAGAAAGTTCTCCAGTAAGAGAAATACTTAGATTAAACATTATGGGATAAATACTTAAGTCAGCGCTAGCCAGTAAGAAACAAGCAAGGCCAACAGCTTCATAATTAATACAACATCTTGTGTGTTATTTGGGCACTACAATGCAGCAGAGCCCAGGCGACTGGTGGGTGATAAACCAAAGCAGCTGGCAAGAAAAAGCCTCCCTTTACAAGAACTATTTTCTAGATGTAGTTTGCCTAGCTTACATTCACATATGATTCCACAAAAGAAAATTTGTGATCTAGTACTAATGATTGTTGTATGGAAACATTTTCACTGACTCTCACTTTTGTATCTCTTTTAGGAGCTAGATAAAATAGTGGCGTATGAACTGAAAACTGGGGGAGTTTTATTACATCCCATATTTGGTGGTGGAAAAGAAAAGGATAAGTATGTTATTGTTCTGAGATGATTTTCTTTTTTTGTCGTTGTTGTTGTTTTTTGTTTGTTTGTTTTTGTTTTGTTTTGTTTTCAAGACAGTGTTTCTCTGTGGCTTTGGAGCCTGCCCTGGAACTCGCTCATATAGACCAGGCTGGTGTTGAACTCACAGAGATCTGCCTGCCTCTGCCTCCCGGGTGCTGGAATTAAAGGCGTGCACCACCACTGCCCAGCCTGAGATGATATTCTAAAGCTCACTTTATAGGCTACCCCTTCCAGGATCACTTGTGTGTTTCTTGAGGCCTAGTAAGGCCAGAACCACGATGATAGTGTGGTGCCACAGACGGCTACTGTTGTCAGTGCCCACTCAGTACTGTTGTGTCACATGAGATGGCTGTAAATGCATTTAAACTTAAAAGCGCAATGTTTTCCTGTTTGACATGCCATGTTTTCTAATTCAACTTCGTCACACTGCTCTTGTTAAAACTGAAAATCTCTGAAAGTAGTTATTTTGCTTATGGTGATGGTCAGTCTTGTCAACCTGATTCAATTAGAGATGCCCGATGAGTAAAGCGCCCGTCTACGCCTGTGTGAATACGTTTCCAGGGAGGGATGAGCAGACATGTGGGTGCGCTACCCTGTGGGGCCAGGTGAGATGAACGAGATAAAGGAGGAACCCTGCAAGCATCTTCTCCCTGCTTCTTGGCTTCCTTGAGACAGTAGCTGTGCTCTGCCGTGTCCTCCCCACCAAGGCGGATTAAATCTGAGCCGCAGTAAAACCTTCCACTTCTCCGTCTTTTGCTAAGGTTTTTGTTCCAGACAAAAAGCATAGCACAGAAAAGTTGTTCTGTCTCTAGACTTAACTGTGGGTCTTAAGCCTTTGGAACTGAGTTTTGAAAGGAATTTGAAAGTTTGGAGATGGGCCTTTGGTATCTCTGAGACTGCTGTGTGTTCAGCGGACAGTTCTAGTCAGAGCTCAGAAGATCAAATGCCAAGAGAAACATGGGCGGTAAAGACCAACTCAAAAACTTAATGATAGGACTAAGATCTCTACCAGGAATGAGCAAAGAACAGGTCTACACTTGTCGATCCTGAGGTTTCAAGGTAGCTCATTTTGTAAGCTTTTGTATGGATTTTGTTGGCTGCTTTTAGACAAATTTACAGTGAAAATTGTGAGAAGAAACACATAAAGTCAGACCATGAGAGCTGGCCTCTGAACAGATTCCCATTAAAAGAAGCAAAGTAGTCTGCACTGGGACGGTCAAAAAGGCCCCTCGACACCCTCTCAGGAACTGCCTGGACCTCCCCTGCATTGGTGTAAGGAAAAAGATGAAAAGGAAACTCTAGAGTCCCCTGATTGTGTCTGGCTTTCAGCCATGTGGACACTCACAGGCCATGCATCTGAAGCCCGAGAAGGTCTGGCTACTGGCTGAGCAGCTAGCAGACCTTGATAGCAGCTGCACGATGGCTTTGCAGGTGTGTGGTTTGTAAGTTATGAGGTCGTAGAGAACTGAGCCCACATTTCAGTGGAAGGCCTGGCAGGCTAAGCAGTGTGTGGCAAGGTCAGGATCCCTGGCATAGCCTCTGAGACACAGGTGTAAGCATATGAGAATGAAGACGGAGATGGAGTCGAGACTCCAGGAAGTTAGAGTAGGAGAAACCTGCAAGGAGGAGCTTCAGGCTGCCAAAATGGCCCAAGACAGGCCATGTGTGCTATCAAAGTGTGGCAGCTAGTGCCACGCAGCGGGACAACTTTGGGGTGCGCCCCTGACTCCTACAATAAGTCCCAGACGCTGGACATGGAACTGTACTGTCTTAAGTTGTACTCTGCCGGGCTTTGTCCTGTTCTTCTGCTCTCCTGCACCTCGGCTTAGGAATAAGAATGTTTACTCAGCCAGTGTACCACAGGGTGTTGGCACAAAGCACAACAAAAACCTCAAAAGGGAATGCGAGGTAGTTTGTGCTAGAGCCCCGTAAGGGTGATCATGGCCCACGGACACAAAACCCTCAAAAGGGAATGCGAGGTAGTTTGTTCTAGAGCCCCGTAAGGGTGATCATGGCCCACGGACACAAAACCCTCAAAAGGGAATGCGAGGTAGTTTGTTCTAGAGCCCCGTAAGGGTGATCATGGCCCACGGACACAGGGAGATGCAGGTTTCCCCAGACCCTGTATTCCTGGGTGGCAGCAGCCTTATGATAACAGAACAGAGAAAGTCATAAATACTTTTCAAACATACTTTTCAAATTCATCGTTGGTGCTCAGTGTCGGACCCAGGGATTCTCAAATGCATTACCAGCTGAGCTGCATTCTGCCTTGTCCTTGGCTTTTTCTTTTTTTTTAAATTGTTTCATTTCTACTTTATGTATGTGGGTGAAGCTGAATTTGCAGGTAACTCCACACAGACACTGATTATGAGAGTAAAATTTGACACACTTTTGAAAGGTAATTAGTGAGAGCCAATCAGTTCTAGAATTGGTTGTGTTAAGATAACAGCAATTCTGCTCTATGTATAGGATCATAAAACGTTCTGTTTTTAAGGTATTTGCTGTGCAAAAATATTTGTGTAAAATTTGCTGTAGCATTTTTGGAATCATGGAAATTTATCAACAATTTGAATTGTTTACATTAATTGTGACGTCCGCCTTCTACTTGCTGTTTTCTTTTATAGTCGGATTTGTTATATTGAGTGACGTTACCTTTTCTTCCAGCCCCGCATCTCACCTTCACTTTTCAATAAAGCATCCGCACACACTGTCCTGGGAATACTACACTATGTTTCAATGTAAAGCTCACCTTGTGATGAGACTGATTGAAAACAGAATCAGCATGGAATTTATGCTACAAGTAAGTCCTAGCACTAAGAACTTAGCAACATGAAAGAAGTGTGTGTGTGTGTGTGTGTGTGTGTGTGTGTGTTAGTTAACTGTTCCCTGCTGAGATAAAGCACCATGACTAAGGCAACTTATTCATTTATTTGCTTATTATTTCTTGAGGTAGGGTTTCTCTGTGTAGTCCTGGCTGTTCTGGAGCTCTCTATGTAGACCAGGCTGACTTTGAACTCAGAAATCCAGGTGCCTTTGCCTCCCAAGTGCTAGGATTAAAGGCGTGTGCCCCCACCGCCTTGATGACTAAGGCAACTTGTTAAAGGAAGTGTTTATTTGAGCTTAAAATCCCAGGGGGGTTAGAGTCTATGGTGGTGGAGCGAAGGCAAGGTGACAGGCAGCTGTAACAGCAGTGGAACTCATTCTGATCCCCAAACACTGGGAATGGAGACTTTGGAGCCTAAAAGCCTATTCCCATGACACAACTCCTCCAGCAAAGTCCCGTTTTCTAATCCTCAGACAGCTGCCAACTGGTGAGATTCAGGGAGGACGTTTACTGTAAATCACTCCTTCTCTTGTAGTCTTAATGGTCATATCATCATGTGAAGTATATCTAGTCCAACTTCAAAACTTCCCACAGTCTTTCATAGTCAAAACACTGTGTCAAAGTCCAAAATTTCTTCTGAGACTCCAGGCAGTCTCTTAATTATAATCCTCTGTAAAATAAAAAGCAAATCACACCAGGCAGTGGTGGCACACACCTTTAATCTCAGCCTGTCAGAAAGAAGCAGGGGATCTCTGTGAGTTCAAGGATAGTCACAGCTCTACAGAGCAAATTCCAGGATAGTCAAAGCTACCCAGAGAAACCCTGTCTCAAAAAGCCAAAAACAACGGGAAAAAAAGCAAATTGCATACTTCTAACAGATAATGGCACATAATATACATAACCATCAAAAGGAGGAGCCGAGGAATCGTGGAGAAATGAAAGACCGAAGCACAGCAGACAGACTCTAAGTCCCTTAGCTCTGTATCCCATGCTAAAGGGCTTGGATGGCTCTGCCCCTCCTGCTTTGCTGCCTGCAACACACTCTGTCTCCTGAGCTCATTCCCATGCTGTGCGTAGCTCTCCTTGGTGGATGTCCATGGCTCTGGCCCCTCCAGCATCTTGGGGTCTCCGACAAAACTCAGGTTTCACATTCACAGCTTCATGCGTTGGCCGCTGAAGGCCTCCATACAGGGACTTACCTGCCACACACCTGGCCTCAGCTGCTCTCCCTGACACCAGAGGAAGACTCCACAGTCAGTTACTTCATTGCTGTCGTTAAATTTTGCCATATTGGAAAGTAAGTTTTAGTACAAGTAGTTACAATATGGAAAATGAAATAGAAACGAGATAGATGGATACGTGTATAAATATATATGCTTTGGGCTTTTTTTGGCCCCTTCTCCTTTCCCATTCCATTACTCTTTTTCCATTTTCTTTTTTCCTTTTTTTATTCCTGTCGTTTTTTTTGAGACAGGGTTTCTCTGTGTAGCCTTGGCTGTCATGGAACTTGATCTGTAGAGCGGGCTGGCCTCGAACTCACAGAGATCCGCCTGCCTCTGCCTCCCTAATGCCCAGCACTTATTTTTCTTTCTTTCTTTAAAATACTAAGGGTCAAATATATGGTCTTGTACATACTAGGCAATGACATACCATTTTGGTACGTTTTCAAATGGATCAATGCATTAAAAATATCAGCTACTTTTTCTTCCAAGAAAGGCTTTTTAAAAATCATTTACTGAGCCGGGCGTTGGTGGCACACGCCTTTAATCCCAGCACTCGGGAGGCAGAGGCAGGCGGATCTCTGTGAGTTCGAGGCCAGCCTGGTCTACAGAGCGAGTTCCAGGACAGCTTCCAAAGCCACAGAGAAACCCTGTCTCGAAAAACCAAAAAGAAGAAGAAAAAAAAATATTTTACTGAGGATGTAGTACAGTGCAGTGCTTGCTTAATGAGTGAGGCCTGTGTTTAATTTCTTTTATCATAACAATGGAAACATACATTTTCTCTAAAGATCGGAGACCAGAAATACAGAATTAGAAAAGTGTGCCATGAAAGGGCATTTATACTTTTTAGAATGCATAGATCTTGATTAGTATTCTTATTTATGAATTTACTTCTGTAGTGCTTCCTAGTTGTGACATCTCACATGTGCTAGGTGACTGCCAACCCGCTGCATTCTTCCGTATTCCCTTTCTAAGGCAGACCACACGAGCTTTATGAAATAGCTCCCATGAGAGTACCAGGCTTGTAATGGATATCCCAAGTTTTGAATTCCTGTGTAAAAATGGCAGGTATTACATATTGTGTTTCTACTTCTTAATAAACGGTGTTTTCTGCGTACATTGTTAGCCTTCAATAATGTTTCTATGAACAATGTTCTTTTATCCTGTTTAAATATTTGTATGTTTCTCTTGCTTTTAGCACTTAGCCCAAAAATCTGTGTATTACATAACTGCTGTCTTCTGTAAATAAAGTTCCAGTGCAAATTGTGTCCACTTGGAAACAGTGTTACGTGAGCTTCTGTCCCTGCAGGTTTTCAATAAACTACTAAGTCTGGCTAGCACTGCTTCGTCTCAGAAGTTCCAGTCTCACATGTGGAGTCAGATGCTGGTTTCCACCTACGGGTTCTTGAAATCCATTTCGAACGTCTCTGGCAAAGACATCCAGCCCTTAATAAAGCAGTGGGTGTATCCTTTTCAGTAGCAGCTCAAAGTGGGGAGGGCCGGGCCGTGGTGGCACACGCCTTTAATCCCAGCACTCGGGAGGCAGAGGCAGGCGGATCTCTGTGAGTTCGAGGCCAGCCTGGTCTACCAAGCGACTTCCGGGATAGCCTCCAAAACAATACAGAGAAACCCTGTCTCAACAAAAACAACAACAACAACAAAAAGTAGGGAGTGAGTAAGTTGTGTAAAAGATGGAAAAGAGGGAGGTGATCCATTGATATTTCTTTACAAAATTAAAAATAACTGACCTATGACTTGTATCTTCTGAAACTCCTTCCAAAAACTGAGTTGAATTCATATGTAAACATGGATGTTTAGATTTATAAGATTTGGCCTAGTTTGTACTATTTAATATGAACAGAAAGGTAGGTCCATGGTGATAAGGTAAGTACTTTAGCAGGCAGGCTTATAGTATTACTTGTAAGATGAAATGGTTTGGTAGTTTTTAAGTGTGCTTGGAGCTTGGCACAACTTGAATGGTATCTTGGAACTTGGCAATTTTTTCACTTCAAGGTACTATTAATAATCCAGTGGAGTGGCGTTTCTTTCAAAACACAAGCTTCTTGATGTTTCAGAGTTTTTGTTGAGTTGGGGAAACATTTCTTATAAGAATTTTGAATATTTTGCCACTTGGAATATAATGAAGTGGACTTTGAGATTTTGATCTAGTAGGAATACATTTGAAAATTGTTTAATATAATAGGCTTTTTTTTAAAAGCACATTTTCATTTTAGTATGTAAAATTTCCTTTACAATTCTTCAGAGACCAGAGTGGAGTAGTAAAATTTTATGGAAGTTTCGCGTTTAATAGAAAACGAAACGTTTTAGAGCTAGAAATAAAACAAGACTACACATCTCCTGGAACTCAGAAGTACGTGGTAAGTGTTTTTCTAGAAGAGCGCGTCACACTGTCAACTCCATTTCCAGCAGAGGAAGGGCTTTCGAGCTGGGGTGACTGATGAATTTGCAGTGAGTACTTGAAGGGACCAGGCTACAGACAGATTTCAGAGCCTGTATCCTCGCTTCCCTTATCCTTGGCTGCCATTCCACTCAGTCAGTATGTATTTGGTGTAGCATAGTTTGTATCTTGACTTACCTGTCGCTAAATGTAAGGATATGGATTGGCCATTTTTTAGCGTTCTTTGAATGGTATGTTGTTGCTGTTGTTTTTTTTAAAGGGACCACTTAAAGTGACAGTGCAAGAGCTAGACGGATCCTTCAACCACACCTTGCAAATTGAGGAAAACAGCCTTAAACATGATATACCCTGCCACTCTAAAAGCAGAAGGTAGGCAGTGGGTCATCACTTAACTGGAGATGAAACCACAAGTCCCACATGTAACATGCCTAAGTAACATTCCAGTTGTACAGCAAAACGTTTGCAGGAAGCGCACTTACCCGCAGCTTTGTCTCCTGTGTACTTCATGCTAGCGTGGCCACTCATACTTCGTTTGCGTCTGGTTTTGTTGCTGTTGAGACAGGAGCTCTTGCAGCCCTACTAGCCTCCATCCTCTCTCTTCCTCCTCCCAAATACTAGACTCGCAGGCACGCACCCTACACACCCAGCTCTTGCTTCCGATTGTTGAAACACCTGTTTTTGGAGTTAATTTTTTATATCCATTTAATTTAGTTTTAGGACACAGTATCACAGGCTGGTCTAGAACTCACTCTGTATACTATACTAATGTAGTCTTGTGCTTCTCCTGCCCAAGTCCTGGCATTGTAGACTTCTGCCATGTCTGACTTTACATAGATTTTTAATTTGCTTTTTTTGGGGGGGGAGGGTCCTCATTATTCCAAGATGATTTCCTTTCAACACCCACTTTTTCTAGCTTCAGGGTAGATTTTGTTGTTTCTAAACCCCATTTCATTATATATTCACTCTTCTTTGGCCTGTCTTTTAGTGTTTCATGAAATCTTTTATTTGAGTTTTGGCTGTTCTGAGCTCCATTCTGATTTGGAAATCCCATAGTCTTCAATTTTAGTTTTCTTTAAATATAGGAATAAGAAGAAAAAAATCCCACTGATGAATGGGGAAGAAGTTGACATGGATCTTTCTGCAATGGAGTAAGTTACTTAAAAGTATGTAATTATCTTTGAAGTGTGTGTCTTTAAACCATTTAAAATCAAGCAGAGTTGTTAGGGAAAGATTAAATAAAATTATAACTCACTGAAGATAAACATTCAGACTGAATAAAAGGAAGAAGCAGTAATGTAGGCGGGACACAACCTCAACTACACAGCCTTCTTGCTCTCCCTAGTGGTTCCTTGAGTAGTGTTTCTCAAATGAATGCGCATGTGACTTGATTGAGAAATCTGGAAATGCCGTTTTTGATTCATTATGTTATTTGTGGGACTCACTTTTAGATTTCAAGTGAATTCAAGGTGATACTGGCTGTGTTTGGGACAGCACACCAGAGCATGGTGATACAGCCTCTGTTTTTGCAGACTGTTTGAACACCGCTCTTCTAAAGTTTGTAATTACTTTTGGTTTCCTGACACAATGTCTCTTGTAGCCCAGGTAGTTTTCACTGAGCCTAACTGTTTTGTTTTGTTTTCCTTTTAACTTTCTATGCATGGGTCTGTTGTGCTTGCATGTGTGTCTCTATGACGCGCATGCCTGGTGCCTGTGGAAGTCCAGAGAGGGCTCCAGACCCCCTGGAACTGACAGCTGTGAGCTGCCCCGTGGGTCCCGGAAATTGAACCTGGGTCCTCTGTAAGAGCAACAAGTGTTCTTAACCACAAGCTGCCCATCTAGCTCCTGGACTTGAATTCTTGATGCTCCTGATTCTACCTCCCCACCTGCTAGGCCCTGCTAGGATTATAGCTGATTGTGATATTGATTGATATTTCTTAATATTTTTATGCTGTGTCATGAGCACCCAGTATTGAACTGAGTTAGTATTACAAAGTGGTATTCTTTTGATCAAAATGTTGACGTAGACTTGATTTTTTACTTTGCAGGTTACTTGAGAAATACATGGGAATTAACTGATGGGCCTGCCTTCAAATTATGATTTTAGAACTGTCTTGAAAAAGATAGTCATGAGTCTAGCTTTTTTTTTTTTTTTTTTTTGAGACAGGGTTACTTTGTGTGACAGCTCTGGTTGTCCTAGAAGTCACTTTATAGACCAGGCTGGCCTCAATGCCTCAAACTCACAGAGCTCTACCTGCCTCTGCTTCCTGAGCACTGTGATTAAAGGTACCACCACCCCACCATTTTAAAAGATACTGTATGTCAACTAAAATTAATTTAGTAGAATAAATGCTTTCTTTCTTCTTATTTCTAATAAGGGGTATAGTGTATAGTTATAGTCAGTTATAGGAAGTTACAGAAAGTTTGTATCATTTGTGGTTTGATATCATAATTGCAGATAAAACATGCCCAGAATAATATTTTCAGTAGAAAATTTGGAATTTGGTATTCTATGTGGCAACTCTTCGTTATGTATCCGTCCACTCTTCATTTCCTTAAAGATCTTGTTAGTAAGGTTGTGAAAGTTAGCATAACACAGTGAAAGGTTTGCTGAAATTATAAACTATAACTGTAATAAAACTGTCAAGTCTTGAGTAGTGACTGTGCTGTCTTTGTTTTCCATAGCTGTACTTTAAAGTTGCAAAACTGTTTTCTTTTAGCGCCGATTCCCCTTTGCTGTGGATAAGGATAGACCCAGATATGTCAGTCCTGAGGAAGGTGGAATTTGAGCAGGCTGACTTTATGTGGCAGTATGAGCTCCGCTATGAAAGGGATGTGGTCGCTCAGCAGGAGTCCATCCTGGCCTTGGAGAAGTTCCCCACCCCTGCGTCACGTCTCGCACTCACCGACATACTAGAGCAAGAGCAGTGTTTCTACCGAGTGAGGATGTCAGCGTGCTTCTGCCTCGCAAAGGTGAGGTGACACAGGAGACAGGAAGATCGCCCTGTGACTGTTGTGCACTTTACGCAAAGGCTCTGAGAATGAATTAAAACTCACCAGAGTCTTTAAGATTTTCTTGGTAACTGTACCTTTTGGAGAGCTTGTACCAGATGCTTGTAACAGCGCAGATTTGAAAAAAAATGCTTGATATAAAAATAGGTAAGTACAAAAATGTTATACTTGTCAGAATGCAAACTAAGGAATTTTTTTCCATTTTAAATTGCCAAACATATTTTTAAGACTAAGAAAAATTTTGGTTAGAAATTCTATGATAGGGGCCTGGAAAGGTAGCTCAGAGTTTAAGAGCACTGGCTGCTCTTCCAGAGTTTCTGAGTTCAGTTTGCAGCAACCACATGGGGGCTCCCAATCATCTACAGTGGAATCTCAGGCCCTCTTCTGGAATAATGGCATACATGTGTATAGAGCCCTCATATACATAAAATAAAGGAATAAATCTTAAAAAAATAAATTCTGTGATTATAGTAATTTATGCTTTTATGTGAGAATTCATAAAATTAACAAATTTTTGGTTTAGGAATTGAAATTAGTGGTAAATAATCTACAGTAATTGTCTCTATGATTTAACTTCCTTGGAAAAGTTAATTTATCAATAAACAGTCTTTGGAGTAACGAAAAGTCTGAGACCAGAAGAACACAGACAGAAAGCTGAGCAGAAATCCTATCTGCCAAGTATTTTAAAGCGTCTGCACGATAGGCTTGCTCCCATCTCAGTGGACTCTGATTCTTCATGTTTGTTTTGTTTTTAGTGGTAACATGCAGTTAACCTGTGCTCTCAGATATCAGAGAGAAAATGGGATTGCTTACTAGGGATAGGTTTCATTGTTACTCTGAAGAGTGTTGTGATTGTTCTTAAAATCATAGCAGAGCCACAAAACTATAGGATGAAGTATTTAATTATCCTTAATTTCAGATACTTTTTTATGGGCCCTAAAAGTTCCAATTCTAAGAGGTTTTGTTTTGTTTTGTTTGCTTGAACTCACAGAGATTCACCTGCCTCTGCCTCCCGAACACTGGCATTAAGGGTATGCACCTTTAAGGGAAGGAAATGCTTTAAAGTTTTGAACTTTGAACTTTTCTTCAAGTCCTTTTCCTGTGGTCTCTCATCCATTAGTTTGTTTTTATATTTTATTGATTTATAAATTGTATTTAATTTGAGGTATTTAGATAATCTTCATCTGTGAAGCTGGCATTTCTTTTCACATTCCCAGATCAGTTTTAAATAGCTAGAATTGCAGTGGCACTTCTGGGCAGCCACTACAGCATGGTGGGTGGGATTACAATACACTTGTAGCCTCATTAGCCTCCATGTGAGAGACATTGACACTGGAGCCTCTGCTCTGAGTTAGCAGTCGCTAACAGAGTGCCAGTGATTTCTACCAGCAAGAGTAGGATGCATGGCTTGAATAAGAGAAAGCAACCATTCACCCAGCTTGGCTTCTGCTCTTGAGTAGGGGACAGATACCAATATGGAAGCACTTGAAGGCCCCTGGCCTTACACATGTCTTGGAGTGAGGGCTAGAGGAATAGAGTCCATTATGTACCCTAGGCTGGCCTGGAACTTAGATTCATCATGCCTTAGCCTTACCTCAGTACTCTTCTCCAGATAAGTTAATACCGCAAAAGTCACTTGAGTAGACCTAAAGACATTTAAAACTCACAATGATGTTTTTACCGTATAAGCTTAAATATCAGAATTATATCTACCGAAGTGGATGGGACAAACCCAGTCAGAGAAGCCTTTGGTAGCAAGTTTTCCCTAAACACAAGAGGATGCTGTCATTTCAAACCTACCTTGTGCAGAATGACTAAGTTCACGTAGGAACTTAGTGGGGCTTTTGGTTCATCTTGAGTTTGTGTGCTTGGTTGGTCAGGGTTTTGGGTGGGTGAGTTTGTATATTTTCTTGCAAACGGGCAATAAAAGACCAAATAGTATTAATTTGTAAGAACTGTAGTGTTGGCTTTTAGAAAGCCATTTGGTCTTCAAAGTGTATTTACAATGGTGATGGAAAGTACTTCATCCTCTGATTATTTACAGATTGCAAATTCAATGGTGAGCACATGGACAGGACCACCAGCCATGAAGTCTCTCTTTACTAGAATGTTTTGTTGTAAAACTTGTCCAAACATCGTGAAAACAAACAACTTCATGAGTTTTCAGAGTTATTTTCTACAGAAGGTACTCTTCTCTTTGTTTTTAATGTTTTTATACTAAGCAGGTTTTATGGATGCTCACCTAGTATGATTTTTTTTTAACCCACAAACTATTGTATATGTATTTAACTTGGAAACTGTTCATATGATAGGTATGTATGTCTTACAAGTGTGCTCTGAAGATTTTCTAATATTTTAAGTGGTTACTTGTTTTTACCAACTTTACACAAATCCTATCCATGTTACTTGTAACGTGAAGAGAAATGAGTGGCCTTTGATTGGTATCATGGGGACTGAGGTATGGAGTGTACGCACACCTTTCTGATAGCAGGCCTTCTAGAATAGGACAGTCCATTCTGACTCAGTCAGCCCAGCTCACAGGGCCAAGGCCTTGCTTGCTTGCTTGGAGACAGGTGTCATGTCGCCTTGGCTGCCTGCAAGGTACTGCACAGGAAGGGCCGTTTTAATCACAGTTCTGCTAGATGTCACATTCATATTTTCAGAATGAAGAAAATAAGCCAAGTACATAGAGTATGTCTAATGTTAATCTTAAAGGAAGCTTTCTGTAAATAAGTTAGAGGGAGCGCGGAAGTGTGGGTACACTGAAGTGTGAGAAGGTGACTAGTTGTTGAATAGTTTGGAAATCATTTGCAAAGTTTGTTAGTCAAAAGAATGAAGGTCAAGATGAGATTAACTAGATTAAAGTAGGAATGGAGTGTGGAGTTAAAGAAGAGGAATGGAAGTGATGCCTTATCTTAATTGAGTAAATGGACAAAGCAGAGAACAGAATCCCTGGAGTTTGCTCTGTTCCATGTGGGAGATTAGGAGCCTCCAGCATATTTGATAAAAAGGGAAGCCAGGCTAGAAAGTTAACATGAAAGACATGCCCAGCAGTGTATCTTCCTGGTGATTCCAGAGCCAGTCACACTGGCAATGAAGATTGTCACACTACTGTTGATTCTGGTTATTGCCCCTGTGTGTTGCCCCTTTTTACTTAAGACAGGTTTGTATCTTCCTGGTGATTCCAGAGCCAGTCACACTGGCAATGAAGATTGTCACACTACTGTTGATTCTGGTTATTGCCCCTGTGTGTTGCCCCTTTTTACTTAAGACAGGTTTGCTTGCTTTGTAGCTCAGGCTGGCCTGGAATTCCTCGTCTTCCTGCCTCTACCTCCAGTGTGCTGGGATTAACAAGAGTGCACCACCGTTCTCACTGCTTCTGCTCTTTTAAGCAAGAAAATGAGCCATTTCTTTTTTATTGTGCACTTTAGAAAGGGAAGTCTTGACCACTTGCCATGTTCTAAGTAGGACCAAAATTAGGTATATCTACTCTTCTATCTAGGGCTTAATTAGCTTTGTTTCACTAGCAGAATTTACTGTTATGTGTGGCATGTTTGCACTAACAAAGTTATTTATGAGACTTTAGAAAGAAGAAAGGTACACAGAATTTTTGATTACTATCTGTCCAAGGGCTGGTGAGCTGTAGTTTGTTTAATGCCTTGTGCCTGTGTATCTCAGCTCTGAAAGTAATTGTGAGGAAGCAAGGCAATAAGCAACTAGTTAAAGACAATTCAGAGTAGTGGGTAGTGAAGGTGGAGTTAGAATGAACACGTTCCACTTATCACTTAGAAATGGATTGATTCAATTGATATTATATATACTTTCTTCCAGAAAGTGAGGACTAAGACACATAGCCTGTAGAAAATGTCCAGTCTTAAAAATAGTTCCTGGATTTACCCATTTCAGCCGTGATGCTTTTAGATGTGTCCTAGTGGGAGATGGGGTCTTAGGCTCCATCTGTTTATCTGTGTTGATCCCAGTGTAATTCTCTTCATAGCCCAAATTGCCATAGTAATGATTGAGTTGGGTTGTGTACTTAAACTCTCTCTCTCTCTCTCTCTCTCTCTCTCTCTCTCTCTCTCTCTCTCTCTCTCTCTCTCTCTCTCTCTCTCTCCTCTCCCTCTCCTCTTTTTTTTTTTTTTTTTTTAGACTATGCCGGTTGCCATGGCTTTATTAAGAGATGTACATAATCTTTGTCCCAAAGAAGTTTTAGCATTTATTTTAGACTTAATCAAGTACAATGACAACAGAAAAAATAAGGTAAGGTGTTTTTCTCAATGTATATTACAAAATACCCAGTGATACTTGTTTTAGGATAATATTGGGGACCTCAGTCTCCAGGACTACAATCAAAGAAAGGAAGATGTATAGTAAATCAAATAGCAACTATTGTCATTATTCTATGCATGTAGACTAACATTTCTTTTTAAAATAGTGTTATTGGAAGGCTTGGAAGGAATCTGGTATTACTGACAGTTTTGAATTTTTATTTTTTGATCTTTTGGGATTTTCTGTTCTTTGAAATACATGTTTCTTCCAAGTTGCTTTTCTTTAAGCTGAGTTAGTTCCTTTCTTTCCTTCTTGCTTTTTTTTTTTTTAATTTTTGAGGGCATATACATGTGTGCTGCTTTTCTGTATATGCACCATGTGAAGAAGGTCACAGAGGCCAGAAGAGGGTAAAAGATCCCCTGACCGTGGACTTAGAGGGGGCTGTGAGCCTCCATGTGAGTGCTGAGAACCGAACCCCGTGCCTCTGTAGTAAGTGCTCATAAACACTGAACTGTCTAAGCCACCTCTCCGACCCTGAGTTCATCTGCCTGTTTCTTATGTTGATAATTTCCTTAATTATATGGTGATCTTTAAGTGTGGTATGTCTATACTTTAAGGTAGAATGCTGGGTGATTGGAAGCTCTGCATTGATAACAGGATTTGCAGGCTGTGATGTTTTGTTCATTTTGTATTCGTATCTGTCTGGAGTGTGCATATGTGTCCAAAAACATCTGTGGGGTTGCATGTTCATGTATGTGCCCCTGCATGCAGAGACTGGGCTTGGTCTCAGATGTCTCCCTTGATTGCCGTCTGCCTTGGGGCATTGCCTCTCACTGGAATCCAGAGCTTACCAGTTGGCTAATCGAGCCAGCCAGCTTGCCTTAGGGACTCTGCTCTACCTCCGGAGTGCTGGGCTACAGGTGGGCTCCCATCCCTGCCTGGGTTTTATGTAAATACTGAACCTGAGCTCTGGTCCTCACACTTGCTGAAGGGTGGAGGCAGGGGAGCTTTAATATTTCCTTCAGATGTAACCAAATGCAAGCACATTATCACTGAACCATCTCACCAGCTCCTAGTAGACCAATCTTTACTTTCCCTTTTGGACTATAATCTTGTAGATGGTCTGGCCCGGAGACTGTAGGAGGATCTTACACAGATAAGAGTTTAGCATACAATAGATCACTCATGAATACAGCATTTTCACTTTTGTTCTAAATCATAAGTCTATACAAAGGATAGGTAGGTATTTACTAGAAAACTTGATGTTAGATACATGTTTTCTGTGTGTGTGTGTGTGTGTGTGTGTGTGTGTGTGTGTGTGTGTGTGTGTTGCTGGCAGTGAGTTCAGGGCTTTGTGAACACTATAAATGTACTCTACTTCTGAGCTGAAATGATTTAGTTATATGTTGTATTAATATCTCATGAAAATCTTTAATTGTATCTGTCTTAATTATTCTTTGTCTTAGTTTTCAGATAACTATTACCGTGCAGAAATGATTGATGCCCTGGCTAATTCTGTTACGCCTGCCGTCAGTGTGAATAATGAAGTTAGAACTCTGGATAACTTAAACCCCGATGTTCGACTAATTCTTGAAGAAATAACCCGGTTTTTGAATATGGAGAAACTTCTCCCAAGTTACAGGCACACTATCACTGTCAGGTGTTGCTCAGTTCTTTGGTGCTTCTCTAAATGTTTTTTATTTCCACAACTATACCATTATTCTTATTAGATTACATTGGGGAAAGTTAAAGTAAAAATAAGAAATTTAAATTTATGATAATATCATCTCCTGATTGATTGCTAGTATTTGGAAAATATCCTTTAAAGTTTTTCTCTCTGAAATGGAATTTTAAATTTATAATACTTTATATATAGTTTTATAGACACTTTTCATTATGTTTGCTCTTAATTTTCTAAACAAATACATTATTTTGTCCTTTTATGCATGTGCACATAGACACACACAACACACACACAAGCACATGGTGTGTGACAGTCAGATAACAGCTCTATGGATTTGATTCTCTTTCCCCTTCACGTGGACTGGGGATGGAACTCAGGTTCCCAGCCTTACACATGTCAAGTGCTTTCACCCACTGAGCTATCTCACCAACCCTAGAAATTCTTCCTAAGAAAGTGTTATGATAGGATCGAGTCTTATACAGGCACTACTGTGTAAAGAAAGTCTTTGTTAGGATCATGTCTTACACCGTCACTACTGTGTAAAGAACCCATTATGGTCTTTGAGACAGGTTTCATGTAGTCCAGCCTAAAAGGCCACAAATGACCATGGTACTCCAACCCTCCTACCTTCAACAAGTGCTGGCACACACCCACACCTAGCTGTACCCTTCTTTTCAGAACTGTAGTTCTCTGTCAGCTTTTGTGTAAGTTTACTGCAAGTTGGTTACTGATCATACAAAATTTAACTCCCTTATTTTATTTACTTACTGTTTTTTGAGACAGGATCTCGCTATGTCTTTCCTGTAGACCAGGCCAGCCTTGAACTCAGAGATCTGCCTGCCTCTGCCCTCCACTCTGGTCACATACCCCACCCTCCACCCCTACTTGTGCAAGTGCTGGGATTAAAGCATGTGCCACCACACCCAGCTAGCCTTCCATTTTTATCGTGAATGAATATAAGATTTCTATTAAATTTTATTTTTATTGTTAAGTACTTTTTCTAGTGTGTATTTGTTGGCATGTATGTGGATCTAAGATTCCAAACATGTTGAAATTAATTTTTATGTTGTTTGGGTATTAATATTGAAATTTTATCATAGAATTCAATGCATTCAAATCACGAGGGTTTTTGGGGGGGGGGGGGTTGAAACATTGTTTCTTTTTTTTAACCCTGGCTGTCTTGGAACTCTGTAGACCAGGCTGGACTCAAACTCAGAGTCTGTCGCCTTAGTGCTGGGATTAAAGGCATGTGCCACCACTGCCCAGCTCAGTATATTGTCAACAACTGCTACCTGGCAAATTATGAGTCTTTTAAAAAAATTGTTTCTATTTGATTTTATGTGTATGTGTTTTGCCTGCATGTATGTCTGTGTATGTGGCCTCAGATCCCCTAGAAGGAGGTGTGAGCTGCCATGTGGATGCTGGGAATTGAATCTGGGTCCTCTGGAAGAGCAGTCAGCACTCCTGACTGCTGAGCCATGTCTCTAGCCCCCATAAATAAGGATTTTAATTGACTGACAATGAGTCTCTAATACCTAGGTAATAAATTTAGTTCATGATACTTCAAAGGAAGTAATTACCTTTTTTCTCATTAGTTGCTTGAGAGCTATAAGGGTGCTTCAGAAGAACGGACATGTACCAAGTGATTCCTCTCTCTTCAAATCCTATGCCGAGTATGGCCATTTTGTGGACATCAGGATAGCAGCTCTGGAAGCCGTTGTTGACTACACTAAAGGTAACGCTGTCCAAGTGTTGCTTGTCCGTCTTAGAAAGAGACGTCTGAAAGCTCTTCGTGGTACATCTTCATGGTATACGCAGCAAGGACATTTTAACTGTTGTTGCTTACTTTTGATTTAGCATGCAAAACGTGATTTCACTGTGACATTTTCATACATATCCATTATTGGTAAATTCTTGGCTCACTGACTTTTAGTTGGTTTGGTGACAATAGGAAAAAATAAAATTATAGATGTATTTAACTCATGGGAGAAGCCAGCATATTCTATAAATTCAGCTTTACGTTTTTAAAAATAAGAGATTTGGGAAAAATATCTAAGGATTCAATGAAATAATGTTCAAGTATGTAAAAATTGTAACTGCAAATAAAGCAAGAGAATAACTTCGCCGGGCGTTGGTGGCGCACGCCTTTAATCCCAGCACTTGGGAGGCAGAGGCAGGCGGATCTCTGTGAGTTCGAGACCAGCCTGGTCTACAAGAGCTAGTTCCAGGATGTGGGGACACCAGACCTTGAGCAGAAACCCACTTCCCCTTCAGCCTGGGAGCAGGCAGCTGTGAGATGTTTACTGAAAACAATTCAGTGCTATAAAGCTCTTGATAGGGCTGAAACACCATGACTTTGACACCCCCTAAGGCTAGATGCTTCTCTCTGTCCCCCCTGCGGTGTCTCCCCGATTCTGGGGCCAGAGATTAAACCACCAGCCAGGAGGGTGAGAAGTCTGGAAAGAATTGTTTGTAGATGGATGGCAGAAGTCCTTAAAAAGGGAAGCTCTTTTTTCTTGGGAACCTCTCTCTCCTAAGCGGACTTGGGGTCTCCTCCTGAGCTGACTTGGGAAGCATAAAGTTTTCTTAAAGCAACTGACCGGTCTCTGTGTCATCTATCCCGACCACCTCGCTACATTCTTGGATGCAGGCCGCACAGCAGGTGCAACACCAGGACAGCCTCCAAAGCCACAGAGAAACCCTGTCTCGAAAAAACCAAAAAAAAAAAAAAAAAAAAAAAAAAAAAAAAGAGAGTAACTTCATCAGGAAAATTAGGTTAGGCCTCAAGCTGAATATAATAAGGAATATGACAATGAATAAAGCAAGAGTACACATTGAAGACATTTTCAGAAAATGAGATGAGAAAGATAAATATTTCACAAATACAGAGATTGGAAAAAATAATGCAGCAAACAATGGAATACTCTGCAAAGGTTAAGCTAAAGTGGCATAAGTTAGCTTCTACTACAATTGTAATCTTTTGTGTAAGTTCCTAGATAATCAGAAGCAGGGTGTTGTACAGAGTACAAAGGTCATGTAGGAAACCTACACTTGTTTCTGATTTTTCTCCAATGCTGAATGTCTTCATAATTCTCCTGTCTTATGATTCAGTCTATAAAAAGGTAACATAGTGTAGTCTCCAGCTTCAGATTAGGAAGTCAAAAGACAATAAACAATACAGCTGGGTGAGTTTTAGATTCTCTACTCTTCCTTGCCAAGTTGTCATTTATATACCTTTGGGGAGTTAGACACAAACACAGTTCTTACATAACATTCTTTTTTTCCTAAGATTTTATTTTATGCCTGGAATGGTTGCTCCTGATTTTAGCCCTAACGCTTGTGATGTAGAGATTGGAGGATCTCTGGAAGTTAGAGACCAGCCTGGTCTACATAGCATGTTCCAGGCCAACTATAGTGAGGTCCTATCTCAAAAAAAAAAGTTTCATTCTTTTGGTTTTTGACTTTTCAGTGTGTGTGTGTAGTACAAACACACAGACAGACAGACAGACAGACAGACAGACAGACAGACACACACACACACACACACACACACACACACACACACACACACAGATACCCACTAAGGCCAGAAGATGTATTCAGCTTCCCTGGAATTAGAGTTAAATGTTATTGTGAGCTGCCTGATACGGTTGCTGGGAACTGACCCGTGATCCTCTCCAAGACCAGTAAGTGCTCTTAACTGTTGAGCCATGTCTCCCGTCCCCTTGTGTAACATCCTTAATGACAAAACTTCCCAAGAAAATTTTCAGATGGAGTATATGTGAGCCAAAATAATAAAGCTACGTGAATGTGTAAAATGAAGAAATTGGTAATAATAACTAATCATTTCTATATAATAGCATTAAACTTAAATGCTTGCTCAACTTTTGATAAAAGTCAGTGTTTATTTCAGAAATAATTGTTTAATGGTTACATGCAAGTTAAAGAAATACACAAATTTACATCTGAAAGTCAAGCTTGTATTGGAAATATTGAAAGAATAAAGAAGTTGAAGTGTACTGAATTGCAATTAGAATAAAAGAAGGTGGGAAGTTCCTTAGGGAGTTACAGGTTGTGTGTGAACTAGAAACATGTATAATTAAGTCCTTTTAAGTTTTATAAATTTCAACAGAAATGCGTACAGACAGAAAGCAAAGAGAGTAATAACCATATTGTATTTATATTATGTTTGCCTTGATTCAGAAAGAACTGTCATTTTAATATCCTTCATTTAAGAGATGATATAAATATGATATGCTGTTGCTAAGTGAATTATTTGGCAGTCAAAAAACATAAATAATTCTGTGTCTCTATATGCTTTGACATCTTGCTTGGCAGCTTAAAATCTAGACTTGTTTGAAATCTAGTAATTTGTTAGTATACTTAACCTTCTTTCTTCATATAGGTTAAGGATGTTCTTGAGTTAATACTACTCAAAACTAAATAGAGTACTAATGTTTCTAAAAGAATACAAAACTAATGACTATAATTTTAAAAATTGAATGGTGCTTGAACCATGAGTTCTGTGGCTTAAAATATTGGTACTTAGAAGGTGAAAAAAGGAAAACTGTTATGCATAATATTTTGTAAATAAAGCTTTTCAGTTCTTAAAAATACATTGAAAAGGTGATTTGCTGTTATATGTCAGACCTCTCTGGGATTTAAGCATATAAAAAGTTAGCCAGATCTTTTCCAATTAATTATGTTTAATTTTTGGCTTTTAGTGAATTCTAACTTGCTTTATGGTGTATTGGTATTTGGCTGAGTACATACTGGGTACTATTTTTAGTCTTGGTTACATGTGGCATGATGCTTATGAAAGAAAGTTACTGGTCCAGTGCATACAGAAAAAGTGTGCTAATTGCTTCCTTGGACACTTCAACTGCAGGACAATCCAACTAAGAACCCTACTTATCTAATGTCCCTGCTTATGACTTGCTACTTGATATGGTGTAATTAACCCTGAATATATTTACTCATTTCAGTGGACCGGAGTTATGAAGAACTTCAGTGGCTACTTAATATGATCCAGACTGATCCTGTACCATATGTAAGGTTAGTTATGTGTTGTAATGTCCTGATTTTGAATCCTAAAGTGGGGTGAATCATTTCTGAAGATTGTACATGGGAAAGATGTTAAAATATGGCACTAGGTTATGCATTTTTAAGGCCTTTTTCTTTTTCAAGACAGGGTTTCTCTGTGTAGCTTTGGCGCCTGTCCTGGAACTCTCCCTGTGTACAGGCTGATCTTAAACTCAAAACTACCTGCCCCTGCCTCCCAAGTGTTGGGATTAAAGGCATGAGCCACCACTGCCCAGCTAAAACAATTTTCTTTTCTTTTTTTTTTTTTTGTTTTTTGTTTTTTGTTTTTTGTTTTTTGTTTTTTTTTTTTTACGAGACAGGGTTTCTCTGTATTGTTTTGGAGGCTGTTGGTCCAGCCTGGCCTCGAACTCACAGAGATCCGCCTGCCTCTGCCTCTGCCTCCCGAGTGCTGGGATTAAAGGTGTGCGCCACCACTGCCCGGCTAAAACAATTTTCTTAATTTTATTTTGGAGAAATATTTTCAAATAGTTAATAGTTTCTTTGTTAATAGTTTGTAATGAATAGGGATGATGCCTTGTGAGCCCCAACTTCTAGTTGATTTCACTGTGTTATTTGGGAACTTATTTCAGGTCATCCTGTTTTTTGCTCATTTAAAATCTTTTTATTGCCGGGCGTTGGTGGCGCACGCCTTTAATCCCAGCACTCGGGAGGCAGAGGCAGGCGGATCTCTGTGAGTTCGAGACCAGCCTGGATTACCAAGTGAGTTCCAGGACAGCCTCCAAAGCCACAGAGAAACCCTGTCTCAAAAAACCAAAAAAAAAAAAAAAACTTTTTATTACATGTATATGTTTTGTCTGTGTGTATGCATGCATAAGTACCACAGTATGCATGTAGAGTTCAGAGGACAAGTCTTTACTCATGAGCCACAACACCGGCTCCTATTTGTTTTCGTTCATTCGGAGCCTTAATTTTTATTAGAGTTGATGTTTTCTAAAATCTTAGGAAACTAAAAGAATTGCAGGCTTGACATGGCATCTACCTTTGTATTTGTGATTACCTCTTGTAACTGCATTTATTCCTGCTGTTTCTTTTACACAATGGGGTTTTATTTAGGAGTTAAATTAATTATATGTTTCTGTCTTCCTTTCTTTGCACATAGTAGATACTTAGGACCTATTTGATTTATTGTATTGGCTTCATGGAGCATAATTTTAGAGCTGAAGAATAACTCGGCTATTTCAGTTAGAGACAAGGACTTAAGTGCTTCGTCAGCTTTCCGTATCACTTGGCAGTGTTCTCTTAGAATGACATAAAGTCTGCTTTCTCATCTCTGAAATGCCTCTGGTGTGAGGAGTCTGCTCAAGAACTTGGGCAATCTATGGCAGTGACATCTTGGTTAGTAACTGTACATGTCAGTGTTTTAAGTAGTGCTTGCTACACAGGTTTTTATATGAAATTTTGTTAGGATTTTAGTGTTCTTGATTTGTGATCTATAGTATATTTTGAATAATCTGTCCTTGTGAGTGATACAAAATTGAAATGCAGAGAACAAAACCTGATAGCTTCACATTTTAAAGTATGGAGCACAGAATACAGCCTCATTCCTTTATCTAAAATGGTGCATGCACTTTATTTAGTCTTTGGTAGCCACTGGGAGCAGATGCTTTAAATACAAAACTTAGCATGTGTTCATTTGGTTTCAGTTTACATAATTAAAAATTAACATCTGTATTTCCGAGAACTTCAGAGAACAGAGCACTTCGAGCAGATTGGTTTTGTGATATTTGCAGTTATTGTATTATACTTTATGTCTGAACTGAGTGCTTTTGAATTGTGTTTTTGAGCTGTTTTGGTTCATTCAAATGCCAAGAGCACTATTTACAGTCTGGACCGAAAAGCCATTGAGAGGTGTGCTTCATAGTTATGTTTAGCATGTCATCCTCTTAATTGACAAGCTTTCTTTATGTCCCCACTAGAGAAACTTCTCCTTTAAGATCACCCTAGCGTATAGGCTATAGTAAACCACACACAGTTGCACAAGTTTGCAGTTAAGGGTTGGCGAACTGACTCATCAGGTAAAGGCAGAACCCTGTGATGGAGATGAGAGCTGACTCCTACAAGTTGTCTTCTAACGTCTACAAACGTGGCCGTGGCACATACACCCCCACTACCACACAAAATAAATATCCAAGGTTTTTTGTTTTGTTTTCAGTTCACATTTTTAGAAAGTCATTATGGCAATGAATGGTCACAGGATGAAAGTGTTTTCACACATTGCTTTCTCAGTGGTGTTTTCTATTTTGTTTTAGATAAGACCTCACTTTATAGCCTTGACTGTCTTACTATGTAGACCAGGCTGGCCTCCAACTAACACAGATCTGCCTCTCTCTGCCTTCCCTGTGTACCACTATGCTTTGTGTCTTTAATTCACTTCGTTCATTTATTTTTGTTTCGTTTTGCTTTGCTTGAGGCAGTCTTACTATATAGTCCAGGCTGGCCTCGGCCTTGGCCTCTCTGCCTCTGCCCCTCTGCCCCTCTGCCTCTCTGCCTCTGCCTCATGAGTACTGCGGCTACAGGTGTGTACCATGATGCATGGTGCCCTGTGAGTATTGTTTTTAGTTTCTTAGGAGTTTTGTGTTTCTTGGGTTTTGCTGTTGTTGTTTTTATCATGTGTCTTCTTTTTCATTCTCATTGCCATCACGCTTTTAAAAATTTATCTGAATAAGCATGACTGCTGTGCATTGTAGAGCTCCTAATGGGAAGACCTAGGTACTCAGGTGTCTACATCTGTTTACATCCTTGGCTGTTCCAAACACAAGTTTTTATGGGCATTGTGGGTTTAAAAACTTGCGGTAAAATGGCCCTCGATGAAAATGAAAACTTTTGAAGTGTATAGATTTTCCTTTCCTGTTTTTGTTACAAGATGCTTCAGAGTTTGTGTAAAAATGTGAAGGTTACCCATAAGTCAGAAGCAAGGAAAGCGCACATGACCTGCAACCATTCTTTCATTGTAGAATTAAATGTGACATCTACAGAGATAATCCTTGATCCCTATAATCGTGCAGTTCCTCAAGTCATATTCTCCCATAAATTCTCACAGTCCTATTGTGCGTAAGTTCATAAATCCTTACATAAATATCAATGTCATAGTTTGATTACTCAGTCTTTTTTGTCTCCTCTACTGCTGTGTAGATCTAGATAGTTCAGGATCAGATCTTTGCCACTGCCTAATCCATGACACTTATAGCTAAATGCATATAAAACAAATGGCTAAATGTATTTTTCCTCTTTCTCCACTCAAATGTATATGTATATGCTTAACTTAGTTCATAGGTTAGAGTGACTTTACTTTTCCTGTGACAGCTGCAGGTAGAGAAAGTATTTCAGGGTGTGATTGAAATGCTTGGGAAGCTTTGAGGGAGCCTAGTGTCCCCCGTGCTGACGAGACTTGCTTTTCTTGTGGGCTTATTTCAGTACATCACTTTTCCGGTCTAAATCTGTTCTTCATTAAGATAGTTTATAAACTTAAACCAAGCAAATTCTTTTTTTATTAATTTATACATCTCTTGACATAATCACTTTTGCTCTAATGTTTACTGTCAGTTTTATGCATCTGTTAGGATAAAAAAGAATTGCATGCATAGGCTAAAATAAATCTTTTAATTTATATGTATTGTTTTAAAAACTAAAATTCTAAATTTTCAAAATTGAAGTTTCCTTTTAGTAAAAACAGCATTTGCCAGGAGTTGTCTTACATGCTTTTAATCCCCAAACTCAGGAGACAGAGACAAGTGGATCTCTGTGAGTTCAAGGTTACTCTGGTCTATGTAGTGAGTTCTATGCCAGCCAGGATGGCATAATAGAATTCTGTTACAAGAAAAGGGAGTGGTGGGCTAAACTGCTTACAATACCAGGCTGGCACACTGCTTGTAATCCAGTGTTAAAAGGCTGAAACAGGAGGATTGCAGGTTCAAGACCAGTCTGAACTGTGTAATACAACCTTGTTACAATAAAATAAAATGGTCATACAAATTTCAGAAAATAACAAAATCCCACCAAGAGAAAAATATGCTCTATAGTAATAGTATTTTGATTTGTTGATTCATAGTTGCTTTTGTATGGTTATAGTCACATTTGGTTTAGATTATCTAAATACGTTTCATGAAGTTCTCCTGTTTGGGAAGTAAATGTGATTTTGATCAGACTGCGCCAGGTCTTTGAGGTGATGCACTTATGGTCACTGCTTTGTCTCTTGACAGACTTTCAGCTTTTGTTTGTTTCATTGGTTGGTTGGTTTGCTGTTGGTTTGGTTTATGGTGGTTTGATTTGCTAATTTCTTTTTAGCGTGATAGCATTGGGATTAGACTGCCTCATGAAGAAAATTCTCAAATGTTCAGGCAAATACAGTGATGCTTTTGCTGCTGTGGTCCCATGAACCTGTGACTTTGAGATTGGCTTAAGTCTGTTTCAGATGTCAGAAGCATACTCTTGTAACCCTTTGATATTTAATCTCTAATAAATTAAGCCTGGGATACTTGTCTTCCCTTATTTCCTTTAAATATTTTATATATTTAGTCCCTTCTATTTTCCTGCTTAAAAAACATTTCTAGCAAAGAAATTTGTTACTATTTTTTAAATTATGAGCATGCTTGTGTATAGGTATGTGTGTTTCTGTGTTTTTATCCTCGGAGTTTTGGTTTTTTTTTTTTCTTTGTATTTTAGGTGTATATCTGTGTGCATGTTATCTGTTATGTACGCCATGAGCATTCAGGCACCTGAGGGGGTCAGAAGAGGGCACCAGATCCTCTAGAAATGGGGTCACAGGCACTTGTGAGCCAGCTGACCTCCCAGGTTCTGTAAGAACAAGCTCTCGTAACCACTGAGCCATGGTCTCCAGTCCCTCGCATGTGAACTTTAAAGGACAAAGCATGTGTTAAAGAAACGTTTAAGACTGACATAAGTTATACATGTACTAATTAGTCATCATTGCTATTTTAGTGCCCTTAACAATCATAGAGAGATTAGAAAGCTTTGTAGTGTTTGGAGCAATACCAAAAGCCTTAATGGTCGGTCTCTGTGTTTCATTTTGGTTGTCTTAGAAAGTAGCTGAACAGAAACGTACTTTTCAACTTACTGCAAGTTAAAAACTAGCAACATTAATAGGCTCTAAAAAACAAACTCCCTAACATTCAGGAAGCTGAGGCAGGAGGATCACTTAAGCTTAGGAGTTTAAGACTAGCCTGGGCAACACAATGAGACCTCCTTCTCAAAACTCAAAGAAACTCATTCCTGTCGACTCACAGAGGAAGAGATCTTGAAGGACAGGGATTATATTTATCCATAAAGATGAAAATGGGTATATGAATTATTTGTAAAGATTTACGTTCCTTTTCATATAACTTGTTTTCAGTCCTATCTGAAATCACATCCTGCCTTTTTAAAAATAACCTTAGTGGTCATGTTTGTGCAATCTTTAATTTCACATCCACAAAAGGTGCCGATAAAGTTCCTATTTTCCACTTTTGCGGACATAAAATGGCAGGACTAGAAGTGTAGTATTTTAAACAACACTCAGCCCACCATCTTTCCTCCTATTTCATCCCCAGCTGAAAATCCAGCTGGATATTTTAACTCTGGCAATGAAGTGCAGAACTTTCCCAGATTCTCTCTTTTAAAAGTTTGGTTATTTTCTGTGAATCCCATCCCATTTCTTTTTTCCTTACTTCTATCCAAGAATCCAGTTCCTCTTTGTTTTTGTTTTTTGAGACAGGGTTTCTCTGTGGAACAGCCCTGGCTGTCCTGGAACACACTGGGCAGACTAAGCTCGCCTTGAACTCACAGAGATCTACCTGCCTCTGTCTCCTGAGTGCCCCCATGACCAGCTGAGAAGAAGTCCTCTTAATACTTACAATTTTGCTTACTCTAGTCCAAGCTCTATCTTTCCCCTAAATTCTAGGCTCTCGCCAGGGCTCCCCCTACCTTTTTTTCTTTCCATCTTTCTATATTAGATAATTTCCTCTTAAGATTTCGTTTTCTTTGTTGTGCCTTATCTCCAGAAACAAAACAACAAAAACAACAACAAAACACAACTAGCTCTCATGATTAGAAACTTGAGCCATGAAGTTTCCAGTTACTCCTGAAAACATTCTTCTTACTTAGCTCTTTCCATATTCAGGGTTAGGGTCTGTTCGCTCATGACAGTGTCTTGCTATATAACATAGCCTAGCCTTGAGCTTGCCATCCTTCTTCTGCCACGGCTTCCGGAGTATTAGGACTGTATGTGCCACTGATTGGTTTACTCAATTGCAGCTCGTTTTGAATACACCCCCCCTTTTTTTTTATTTTCTATGTTCCATCTTTAAAATGTATCTGCACATGTCCATGCTTTCCATTGGTGCTATGATATGAAGTTTATGTTCCTATTAGTTTGAAATGTTGGCCCATGTTTGAATTATTTTGTTCTGTTGTCCCATTATAAGGATTTTTATATATTTTTATAGGTTGTTGGTTGATTTGCTTGCTTTTGTTTTCAATACTAAAAAGAATGAAATTGTTAAGATTATAGAAGACCTTATTAACACAGTTTAGATAATCTTCAAAAGCAAATCCACAAGGTATTTTTAGTGAGAAAACACATGATAAATATTTTGGATTCATCACAAAGCATTTAAAAATGGAACTAAATACAAAATAAACATAATAGAAAAGGAGAAAAATAGTTTTCATATCTTCTATAGTGTTTCTTATTCACATCACCAGTCAACAAGTGGTCATTTAAAAATTCATTTATTTTTCATTCTTGCAGGCATAAGATTCTAAACATGTTGACTAAGAATCCACCATTCACAAAGAACATGGAGTCTCCCTTATGCAATGAAGCCCTAGTAGATCAACTATGGAAACTAATGAATTCTGGTAAGAAAGCAGTGACTTTAAAAATTATTGCTTCTTTCCATTTTACATAAGATTTTTCAAGGATATGAGGGAGAGGAAAGTGTGTGTGTGTGTGTGTGTGTGTGTGTGTGTGTGTGTGTGTGTGTGTGTGTGTATAACCTGGAGCTAACAGGTCAGGAAGCCCAGTGGCTTCTGTTTCCAACTCCTAGTGCAGGAATTACAGGGGCGTGTCAGCATGCCTGGCTTTCACATGGGTGCTGGGATCACACTCAGGTCCATGCTTAAGTTGCATGCACTTTACTATGTAACCCCCTCTCTGACTCCTCCTCTATTACCCTTTAAAAGAGTATCTCAGGTTTTTACATTGACATTATAAACATTTGTCAGGATGTGTTCGCTTTGTTCTATATTGTGGTTACAGATAGGAAAAATACAAATTTTACAAGTTTTAGAAAACTTGGTGAAGGGCGATAAACACGAACCTTCATAGTCTTTCCATCTCTTTTCTGTGGCCTCCTAGTGGCCTTGTTCAGAGAGAACTAATTCCTTTTTGATTTTTCCAGGACAGTGAGCGAATGTAGAATAAGAGATAACCTGTAGTTTTAAAGACTGTGTATTACTGTTCTCCGTCGCAGCATGCCATATTATCATAGTGTGAGTCTCCATCCTTTCGAGTGAGATCAGGGCGTGGAAGGACAGTGCGTAGGAGTCCTGGCACTGGAATCAGTTAAACGTTAGCTCATTTCTTACTTTTGGTAGAACTAGTTTAAACTCTGCCATTTACCAAATGCAGGTAGTAAAAGCTGTTTCTGCAAACCGAGAAATAAACAACTTGGTGTCTGTAAAGCACGGTGTCTGCCTCACAGTAAACATTCATGTTTGAACTCTGTGTAGTTAGTTCTCTCCTTCTGTGTTGGGGAATCACATTCAGGCTCTTGATTAGTGGCTATACTCTTAGCAGCCTGGGTAGTCACTTATTTGTAAGTCATTTTTATTTAATTGGGTTATTAAATCTATGAATGTCATATATATGAAGAATATTTGTTTTATCTTAGTAGATTGAAATTATGATTTTGATTGAAAGAGTTAGTCAAAAGCTAGAGACTGAAATTACTTTGCTTACATGGTTTTTGCAAGTAGAGAGAGACCTATGGGTATTTATTCTAACACTTAATTTTTATTTTCTAGTGCTTAAATTTTTTGAGTATGATACTTTGCCTTCTCTCTAGAGATAGCTTATCATGCTAGCTCATTGGTAATTTGCTGAATCACAAATACTAAATTCTAATATTTCAGTTTTTTAAATTTAGTTTACTATCACTGAAATGCTACGGACTATATAACTTCTGTCCTCTCATATAGTGCAGTAGCCATGGGGAATATACCAGTATAGCTATGTTGAAGAAATTCTTCGTTTTTAATAAAGAAAATGAACATCAGAAAACAGTGTAAATTAGTCTGAACTAAGATACTGTTAGTTGTTTTTGGTTAGCTTTCTTTCTCATTGAACATTGTTATTGTGCATGGAGTTTAATATTTTATTTGCTATGCTGAAGACATCATTGTCTCTTTTATTTAGATTCAGGGATGTGCACAAACTTCAGAAACTTCTAAAGAATTATTCAGCAGTAAATATTTGATACAAAATGTGCCATGTCAAATATTAGTTAAGTGTCTGTGACTAACAATAATAGCTCTGAAAATTTAGGAAGGCATACAAGTTATAAAGAATTCTCTTACTATCTCTTTTGAAGAGTTCTTGGACAAAAGGGATGGTATTTAGGATTAATGGGACAGTTTCTGAATGTTTGATCCCTGAAAGTTACAGTTAGACAAATTCGGTGTCTTACATGTGTGGTAATATCTGATGTAAAGTATAGTTGCTACTTTAATTAGAAATTCTCCATGGCCAAAAGTTTACACTGAACAGTGAGATCAGTGAGGGTGTAGTCCTTAACAATTTCCTGGTTCCGCATTAAAATTTATAAAGGACTAGAGGCAGTGTGAACAATGGAAGTGACATGAAAAGTTTGTATTAATAAAATGGGAGAGTTTGTATTTAAAAAGTGGCTTTGGAAATAATTGAACTTTTGACTGGGAAGCTGTACTGAAAAGGATTCTAACCCTTGGATAGAATGAATCTTATATAAGAAGCCACTTTTATGCTTAATTAATTCAAAGATTTTTCATGATTAGAATTATACAATCATGTTTGGAAAAATAATATATAATTGTATTATGTCAATATAGATTTGAGTGTATTTGGCCATTGGAGAAAAAAGAAAGTGTGTGTGTGATGTGTTGTATATATATATATATATATATTGCTGTGGTAAGGTTTTACTATGCTAGGGATCAAACCTATTTCCTTGCAGATGATATGTAAGAGCTGCACACTAGCTGCATCCCAGGCTCAAACATTTTAGAGCAATAACAGGGATTTTCTTATTCTTAATGGGTGTTTTTTTGAGAATGGGGATGTTATAATCAAATAAGTGAAATGATTATTTAAGTCTTGCTGAATCCTGTGCGCCCTTGTTGGGTCTCCTGGGTTATCTGGTGAATAATATATAAGTTTATATCAAGAGCAAATATATACTGGACTCAGCTGATAGAGTGTTTGCCCAGCATGCACAGTCCTGGTTTTGATCCCGATACCACATAAACTTGGTACCTCTCTAAGCCCCTTAGGATTCAGGAGCTGTATCAAAATCAAGATAATCCCACACTACTTAGCAAGCTCAGACCAGCCTGGGCAGGATGAGACTCCGTCAAAAACATACCAGCTGGCATCCAGGCGTGGTCGCACATGCCTTTAATCCCAGCACTTGGGATCTCTGTGAGTTCAAGGCCAGCCTGGTCTACAAAGTGAGCTTCAGGTTATCTAGGGCTATTAGGAGAAACCTTGTCTCAACAAGCCAAAAACAAATCAAACAATAGCAACAACAACAAAAGCCCCAGCTGGCAATGGTTTAGGTGTGGAGATTTAAAAATTGGTTTCATTTAAAGTATGTAGAAGAGGCCATTATAGCCATTGAGGAAAAATATATCAGCATAGGAAGATTTGCTTAATTGATTTCAGAAACCTTAATTAACAATATGAAAATGTTTAGCAAAATATTCTCTTCCTAAACTGCATTTAGAATTATGTTATATCAAGAAGTTGTACATTTCTGTACCATACTCAGTCTTTTATACCACATTTAGTTTATGATTTTTCTGTATGTGTGAGGTGTGCGAGGACATATTGTGTCGTTGTGTTTCTGTTCTTCCACTCGGGGGTCCCAGGGACCAACCTCCAGTGGTCAGGCTTGGTGGCAAGCACCTTTACCTGCTTAACCACCTTCCCAGCACAATCTCTTATCATATTCAAAACCTCCAATTAGTGAATTTACAGAGAGGATCTGTATCTTTAAATAGCAGATTTTCACTTGTGCTGGCGAAATGACAGGGGCGATGAAGGCGTTGAATCTGGAATCCGCGTGATGGGAAGAGAGTTGACTCCTGCAGACCGTCCTCTGACTTTCAGTCTTCACCGCAGCTCCTGTGCACGTACACACTCACGCAGCTAGTTAATTGATTGTGTAAGATTGATGGTGTGGTAATGAAGTTTTCCTCTGCCTCTTAGGTACTGCACATGACTGGAGGTTGCGGTGCGGTGCTGTGGACTTGTACTTCACCCTGTTTGGCCTCAGTCGACCTTCCTGTTTACCCTTGCCAGAACTCGGGCTTGTCCTTAATCTAAAAGAGAAAAAAGCCGTTTTGAATCCTACCATAATTCCAGAAGCCGGAGCAGGCAACCAGGAATCTGCCAGTAACCCTGGCTCGCATGCTCAGCTCTCTGGATTTCAGAACCCTGTGAGTGTCACGTTAGTACAGAGTACAGAGCCTCACTATGTAGCGCCACCCGAGGAGGACAACGTCGTCTTTGAACCGGTCAGCTCTCTAGCCTCGGGTCACTGCCTTTTTAACCCCCAGCTTGTGTTTGCTTAGCACTTTACAATTCATAAAATGTCACCGTCATCACAAGGTTAGGTGTAACACATGTCACTTGTGTGATGGCGTAAGATTCTTTTGACCATAGGATTCCTTCTCTGCATAGTGCAGAATAAAACTGCATATAGATTCAGTTCATAGAGCCTGTTAGGTATCAGCCAAGATGTCTTGTCTGTGTGTATCAGTGGCAAACTGTTGAACTCTGCCTTTTAGTTGTTTTTGCTGCACAGGTAGACTTGTAGGGCAAATGGTTTGGAAAAGAAAATAAATAATGAATGAATGGATAATCTGATGTTTTGGGAGGAGGTGGCACATTACATTTTATAATTTTTAAAACTTGTATTTTTGCCTGTAGAAAACATAACTGCATTGTAAATTGCCAGACTCTGTAAAAAGAGTGTGTGTGAATCATTTCACCATAAAAGGACTTTTCCAGAAATGATGCTCATACTGATGTTACAGTGTCTGCCATACTCCAGCCTTCCATTTTCAGCAGTACTCAGCCCAGACTGTTCTGTCCATTCCCTGTAGGTGTCTTGACACTTGAGCCTAAGTTATCTGGAATATAGTCACATTGATTGTGAATGTAAAGTGTGTCCTAAGGTTTGTGTTGGAGGAAACTAAGACATGCTGACATGGAAGAGGAAGTGCCCTTCTACAGAGCTCTCTCTCTGGTGGGAAGCAGTGTGCTTGTAACCCTCACCCACATTCACTGATGTATCAACATGCACACTTCAGGCGTCAGAAGATGCAGACTTTTAGGGCTGGACCCATGGCTAAGCCATTCCGTTCCCTGCACCCACATCAGTGATCACAGCATCCTCTATCTCCAGCCCTGTGGATCCAGTACCTCCTATTACTTCATACGTGTGACTATTCCCCCTAAACACACAGACACGTGCACATAATTATGATTAAAAATGATAAAAGTAAATCTTGAAAAATTAAGATCCACATGGGAAAAAAAATCTCTAAAAGTTGACAAACACTTCTGTCCCCATAAGAGAAAAAAAGGGCTAAACATTTTACATTGGTTCCTGTTAACTTTTGATCACTGGGCATGCTCTATCTATTCTGTGTGCCTGTTACAGCTGTTTAGTTTTTGACTCTACTACTTGTTTGCAGAAATCTAATTTCAGTTTTAAGTGTTGCCCCAGGATCACAGTGTAGTAAGTGTACAATGCTGTGAGGAGGAGTGAAGAGAAGGCTGGACCACTAGAGCCTGCTCAGATACTGGAGAAGAAGGAGGCCAGCAGTGAGGTGAAACCCACCATCCGAGTAAGAGATGGAGGGTACCGTGTTAGCTACGTAGGACTGTCCATAGGTTTTGCTTAGCAGGAACACATCAGAAACACCAAATCGTAAAAGAACCCAAGTCTCCTAAAGCATCCCATGGAGTTATTTAACTCACTGCATCTGTGTACAGTCCCGTAGCTCACTATTCTCCCCACATTGCAGGCATGGGTTCTAGCTACTCTTCACAGTAATTTCCTTTTGTTCGCTTTGGTGGCTGCTCCACCCGGTTTTTGTTGTAGTGCCTTCTGAAGAAAAGAGACTGTTTTTCTTTTTAAGATTATGGTGGGTGTGTTCTTTGGCCTTTCTTTCACTGGTCCTGGAAGATAAAAGTGATGTCACGACTCTCTGTCCTTTTGTTGTGTGTTCTAGTTTTCAAGTTCTCAAGATGAGGAGGAGGTTGATATGGATACTGTTCATGACAGTCAGGCCTTCATTTCCCATCATCTGAACATGCTTGAAAGGCCATCTACTCCAGGTAAGGATAAGGTACCACAGTCTCAGGGGAGGCGGAGACCCTCGATATACGTCCAAGCAAGTGTAAAAGTGAGAAGGCAATATAAAACCTCTAGATTATATCAGTTTAATTTACACTGGCAAAATAATAAATTGTAGGTGTGGCCAGATGGCACAGTGGGTAAAGGCACTTGCTGTGCAGGCCTGGTGCCCTTAGTTCAATCCTCGGGACCCTATGAAGGTGGGTGAAGAGAACTGATCTCATGAAGTTCTCTGACTCCTGTCTATGTACTGTACTGAGAAACCCTGTCTTGAGAAAAAAAAAACCAAAAAACTGAAGATGGGTAACGAAGCTACACCAAGTATACTGGGAAGGGGGGTCGTTTGATTCTTTATTAGAGAGAGAGAAGTCACTTACATGAGAAACGGAGAACTGAGGTCAGCGCTCTGCTGGTCTCCGACCTTGACAGCAGCCTGAAAGAGAGAGCATGACCCCTCCTTCCTTGACCTTTATCCCTGCCTTCCCCCATATACCTGTGACCTCGCCCTTTGTCTCTATCTAGAATCAACAATAAAAAAGAAAATACTGATCCTGGTCTGTACTTTTTACTTGACCTTTCTGTTCTCTTTACTAATGTGTTAAACTGGCCCTGTGTCTCCTAATGCCTTTTGGTTGGAAGCACACATTATCAGATGTCACAGGAGCTATAGCAGCTTCTTTACAGCCTGTTAGCTGGATAGGTTGACTTCTGCACTGTGACTGTCGGTCTGTGAGCCTCTGACTTGTGCTTCTTGGAGACATTGTTGGCTCTAACTTTTCTAGTCCAGTCATCTAGTCGCCGTCCTCTTTAAAATTGCCTTGACAGTTTCTCACATATATACATCCCCTTTCCTTCCCCTCTGAAACTTGGACTTTTCCTACCTAATGTTCCAGTGGCTGTGCCATTAGCTAATGATACCCCTTCTTAAGCAGCCATTAACAGTAGTTACCCCAGGAGAGATGGGGCTTACAGATACCTCTGTCCATGGTGGGAAGTGTGCAGATTTCTGTGACAGCTGTGTGTTCACGGCTACAATGTGATTCAGACACTCTTGATCTTGAATTCTCTCTGCCCTCTTTTCTGTGATGTTCCCTCAGTCTCCGGAGAATTTTAAACTCTGCCATCTCTTCTTAGTATTTGTTTCAGCTATGAATCTACACGTGTCATCACCTCCAAAAAGAGCTTCTTTGCCCTGATTCAGCATCTTAGACTAAACACAGGTGTTTAGAAGGCAGTTTGACATATTCAGCAGTGCTGGTGTGTTCCCCACTTGGGCCTATGTCCTCCCGGTAATTGGTTATGGCCAGGTTTATAGTATCCGGTGTGTATTATCGCAAAACAGCTGGTTATCCCAAAGGTAGTCATGGCACTATTGCACCAGTAGACATGATTTCCTGGCAGGTCAGCTTTTTAGCACATGTACTGTATACCTGGGTGAGACTAGGATGAGTTTCCTCCCCAGCAGCCTACATTGCGCCTTCCTACACTGTAAACACTAGTAAACAGAGAGGGAGTTTCCATCAGCTCTGTCTTCATTCTTTGTATCCAGTATCCAAAGTGTATGTTGTCTTCAGCAAAAAGGCTTTAACATCTCATTCTAGTGGGCAACTTAGAACAATGACAATAGCCCGTTTTCTTTTTAGCTTCATTTTCAGTGTGTGTGTGTGTGTGTGTGTGTGTGTGTGTGTGTGTGTGTGTGTGTGTGTGTGTGTGTTTATATAAGGAACCTCTGAAGCCAGAAGAGGATGTCAAATTCCTTTGAGTTGGAGTTACAAACGTTGCCAGCCACTTGACACAGGTGCTTGGAACTGAACTTGTGTCCTTCAGAAGCACAGCAAATGCTTTTAACTGCTGAGCCATCCTCCATTCCCACAAGCTTTACTCTTTTGGGGGGTGTCTGCAGCTTCTGTGGCAGACAACTCATGAGGAGGTTTACTTCACCTGGCATTGGGGCCATGCCTTCTAGGAGAGCAATCTCTCCATGAAACTCTTCTGTATATGGTATTCCTTTAAGTATCTTTTGCAGTGGTTGTTTGAGCATCATGAGTTGTCTTAGTTTGGCATGCTCTGAGATGTCTATTTCTCTTACCAATAAAGAAAAGTATCTTGGTTGACTCTAGCAGTCTTGGTGAGCAGCTGTTTACTTTCAGGACTTTAGTGTATCCATAGTTTTCTGGCTCCTAGGGTTGCTGGTGACAGTTCAGTTGCTATTCTGATATGTTTATCATTGTTAAATGTGTTGGTGTATCTCCCTTGTAGCTTAATATCACAGGGTGGCCTTGAACTTGCTGTGTAGCCAATGATGAACTTATATTCCTTCTTCTACCTCCTAAATGCTGAGATGGTAGATGTTGAGTACCCATGTTTAGTTTGTTGTTCAAGATAGCATTTTTCTGCGTAACAGCTTTGGCTGTCCTGTACCTTGTAGACCAGGCTGGCCTTGAACTCACAGAGGTCCGCCTACTTCTGCCTCCTAAGCACTGGGGTTAAAGGCATGCACCATCATGCCCAGCTTCCAAGTTTGGTTTTATACCAAGTGGGGATTGAGTGCAGAGTTCCATACATGCTGAGCAAACATGCTGCCAGCTGACCTACATCTCTAGTCTTTTTGTAGATTTCAGTGTTTTTCTTTGCCTGTATTTCTTAAATTTTCACTGTTACAAATTGTGGAAAGGTTCTTCTATACCACTTGTGTTTAGATTTCTGTTTCTCTACATTTGAGGCATTTTCTGTTATAATTTCATTGAATAGTTTCTGTCTTTAATGTTTAATTTCAGTTCTTCCTTTTAGCCTGTGGATAGATGTTCTTAGGTTTTATCTCTTTATCGTATGCAGAGTTTAGACATTGTAGTTATGTTGTTTTGTTTTTCCCCCCTCCTTGTTTATTGGCACTTAAATTCAGTATTTCTTTTCTTTTGGTTCTGTGTGTGTGTGTGTGTGTGTGTGTGTGTGTGTGTGTACATATGGAAGTTACAGGACAACTTGTTAAAAGGCAGTCCTCTCCCTTCCTCCATCTGGGTGTCAAGAATTACATGTGGTTGCTAGGCTCTGCAGTACACCTTTTCCTCCATCCTCATACTCATTCTGCTTAGTTGAGTCCGTTGTCAGTGACTTCAGTGTAGTTTGTACTTGATTCATTTTTTTATCACTTGTAACATTTTTTCTCAAATTTTAACTTTCTTCCTGAATTTTTCTTCTATACTGCTATAGAAAAAACACTGATTTTATCCATATTACTCAATTCCTATCTGCTTTACCAACTTTCTATGTGTTGCTGAGTTTTGTCATTTATTTGTTCCTGCCATATTTGAGGCCAGTCATGCTTTATATTTTACATACCAATCCCAGTTCCCCCTCCAGCCCCTCCTCCTGTTCCCCAGACCTTTCCCCCACCCCACCCCTGATCCGATCCTCAGAGGGTAAGGTCTTCCATGGGGAGTCAACAAAGTCTGTCCCATTACTCCCCCCCCCACACCCCTGTGTCTAAGCTAACCAAGGTATCTCTCCATAGGAAATGTGCTCCCAAAAAACCAGTTCGCACACTAGAGAAAGATCATGGTCCCACTGCTTGGAGGCCACTCATTTTTTTTTAGTAGTTAAATTTTTAAATATTTCGGTACCTTGAGTTCAGTGGGAGTTAGGGTCTTTTGGAAGAGTCATGTGCCTTGCTTTTCATATTTCTTGGGTTTCTGTATTGCAATTTATGCCTTTTTTGGTCTGGACACTTATGGCTTTATTATTGATCAGCCTAGTCTTGAGAGTTCAATCTCTATTGCCACCCAGAACAGAAAACAAGCTACTAAACCAGCAACATCAAAACTGTAAAAACACAGGAGCACAGGTAAAATCAGTTCAATCCCACTCGTATCACTTGGAAAAGAAAATGGGAACCTATTGTATAACTGTTACCACCTTTGTGCATTTCCAACCCCTACCCCATGCCCTGTAGAAAGACACCTTCCCCTCTGTCCTGGAACTCACTTTGTAGACCTGGCTGGCCTTGAACACAACAGAGATCCATCTGCCACTGCCTCTCGAGTGCTGGGATTAAAGGCCTGTGCCACCACGCCCATTATGACTTCCTTTTCTCAGGCCACACCTAGGCATCTTTCAGTCTCCAACTTCTATAACAGCCCCGAAGTCCCTTGTAGAAAACATTTCTGGTTTTTTTTTTTTTTTGATAATTTTGGGACTGTAATTTGATCTCTGGATTCTGTTATAATTCTGTTTCATGTTATAGCACTAAACTAATTCTTTTTTTTAATTTTATTTTCCAGTTTAAATTTAGATAAGAAACGAGGTTGCTTCACAAGTCAGTTCCAGGTCCCTCTCCCATTCCCTCCCCTCCTCCCGTGCCCTCCCCCCACCCCCCCCCGTTATCCCCTCATTACCCCAGGGAGGGTGAGGCCCTCCATGGGGGTGTCCATAGTCTGTCATTTCATATAGGGCAGGGCCTAGACCCTTCCCCAAGAGTTCAGGGTGAGAGTGCATCTCACATTGTTCTATGGGAGTCCAAAGTCCGTGTGTATACTTGGGATGGGTACTGATCTGCTGCCCAAGGCTTAATAAATTCCCTAGGCCTCCTCACTGACACCCAGATTCAGGGGGTCTTGATCAGTCCCATGCTGGATTCCCAGGCATCAGCCTGGGATTCAAGAGCTAACCCTTGTCAGGTCAGCTGTTTCTGGGGGTTAAACCAGCCCAGTCTTAATCCCTTTGGTCATCAGTCCTCCCTCTCTGTTACTGGCTTTCTTGAGTTCAGCTCAGTACTTAACCAAGGGAGTCTGCCTCTTCTTCGATCAGCCACTAAATGAAGTTGCTGTTTCCCAGACTCTCTGGCCATAGGATTGTAGGCTGGTACTCGCCAGATCTATGTCTAAAATCCATATATGAGAGAGTACATGCCATCTAAACTAATTCTTTAAATGCATTTGTAATCCCTAAATTATTTTAATGTATTCAGTAGGTTTGATAATTGAAATGTTTTTAGGGAAGTTTACAAACTATATGCAAATACCAAATACATAATAAAATATGTAAAATGGCTTCTGCTGCAAAGTATAGGGTCTAATTCATGTGTTCAGCAAGTCTTTCAAGTTTATTGCCTCTCAGATGTGAATTTCCTGAGATTTGAGGCAGTTGGGCAAAGGATTAAATTACTTCTGATCTTTAGTAGCCTTAATATTGTATTCATTTATGATCAGGGTTTTACTAGGATTGAGCTTTCTGGTTTTAAAGCTAACATGTGAAACTTGTCAAGCTTTTTTCTGCTAAATATATCATATTTTCCCTTTTGTTTGATCTTTTAGGGCTTTCTAAATATCGCCCATCGAGCTCCAGGTCTTCCTTAATGCCCCAGCATTCATTAGGCTGTGACATGATACCAACCACAAAACCCCAATGGACTATGGAACTGTCCCGAAAGGGAATAGGTACAGTTATTTGTTTCTTTGTTTTGTGTTGTTTTGTCTCAAGAGAACTTAGTTTTCTTGTAATATATTGGTTTATATTTTGTAAGTCCACAAGACTGTTTCCGGTTAGTGTTTATGTGTTTCTGTTATAGAAAATTTGCAAATAACAAGAAGAAAAATAGATGAGAAAAAAAATCACCCTTCATTATGCTGTTGCATACCCATTGTAATACCTATAACTGTTTGCTCTTGCCTTACAGTCAGATGTTAACTTCAATACAAACCTTAGAATCGGTACCTATATATAATCCACAAATTAACCACTTATTTCTCACCCGGTACCCAGGATTGCTGTTTCATTCATGAACACTTAGTGCTAGACATATGCTACTTGTATAGTATTCCACACAGGGCCAGCAATAAGGTTCTGTAGTAAAAATGGGTGCTACCAAGCCTGACAATCTGAATTTGATCCCCAGAGCCCCCATGGAGAGAACTAAAGTTGTCCTCTGAGCAACACACACACAGAGTTGAAATTATTCCATAATAGTTAAGTTTTCCTAAGAAAAGTAGGTCAGTTCAGTTGTGCTTATTATGTATTCATTCATTTAGGGTCTTCTGCTTATTGTGTCCTTCTGTTGCTCTTAAGCGAAGAGTATAATCCAAAGAGATAGCAACTATCAGATGCTATGAACTACCAGGAGACAAAGATTAAGTTTCCAAGTGTTGATGGAAAAGGAATAGGGAAAAAAAAATCCACATAAGCAAAGTCACTTCTGAAGACTGGGTTTTCCAAAAGTCATTCATAAACCTTAAACATCTATGGATTTCTGCTTATGTTTCAGTGGTGGATTTTGCTTGTATTATGTATGTTTTTGGATGAGATAAACAGAAGAGTAATGTTTATTGATTTGAGAAAGGAACTTGGGGACCAGCTGTGATTAATGGTAGACTTCAGCCAAAAGCAACAGCTCAAAATGCTTTAGTATTAAGACCGTAGCCTACAGCCTTTTGTGAGGCGTGTACATTTATGTAATAGCTTCACACACTATGTTTCCGAAGGAATCCAGCAGGGACTTTGGCTTGTATTTCCAGGAATGGAGGGTTTGGGAGATGGTTTCTTTGGCTCCTCCTCTCACTTCCTCCCTCCTCACTTCTCAGCTCTCTTGTTCTTTTCCCTCTCTTTCCTGTGTGTGTCTGTCTGTGTGTGCATTCTAAACTGTATGTGTCACTGGAGATTGAACACTGGGTCTTCTGCATGTTGTTCTAAACTACACCCCTAACCTCTGTGTGCTCTTGGCTTTGGTTCAGTATAATTCTACTCATCTAAAGTTATAGCTTACAGAGTTTCAGACCTCTTAATATCAGTGAAAATGATTCTTTGACCTTCTCTATAGCTGTGTAAAAGTCACCTTCTATATTTCCTAGAGTCAATTCCTGTTCCAAAAAGAGTTTGAATGCATTTGTATGAATTTTCTTAGTGATGTGGCACATGAACTGTATAAAAATCAAATCTTTAACACTTAACATGTGTGGTTTTCTATCACTGTTGTAGTACTACTTTGAAAACTACATTTTCAGTTTTATTTTGTACTTTCTTTGTGCTATTGTCCAGTCTCATCGTTTGGGAAGATCAGAGCAAGCTAAAGTAGGATTAGAGGTGGGAAATAGGGAAATCTGGAAGTTGAGATTTAACTGTTAACCATGTTAGGAAATACCACACACACACGTTCTATATTCCTGTGTGGAGGCTTGGGGATAACTTGGGAATGTTGATCGTCAATGGGAGTTGCCCTCTTTCTGCCTCTATCAGAGCTGGGATGTATGGGAACAAGATTAGTCTATGGTTGAGTGAGGTTCCTGGAAGAACACAGTGGTCAGAGATGGTATGGCCTCCCTTCAGACTATAGACTCTAGATTAAAGAACACATGTGAGGTGTGTGGGGACATAGCCAGCTGAGGACTCTTCTATTTGTGGTAGCTAAAACTTAACAAGCATTTTACCCTGATTGCCTAAAAATGGAGAGACAGCATATACAAATTTCTTTTCTTGAAATATTGAAGTGAAAGGTTGTTTTAGTGGTGTTCCTTTACTTATTTCTGTTGTCTCCTGAGGTGCAGAGCTGTTGAGTGGGGGCCCTTGCTTTCTTTATTCACAAGGTGAGGTGACTTCTCATATGTCTCTAGAACTGAGAGCCAAGGAGCAAGATCGTCTTCAAGAATGGAAATGTGTTACAGACCTCATCTAGGAAGGATAGAAACAAAACAAAATGCTTTGAGTAAGATGGAGAAGACATGCATCTTTTGTTAGTAGAGGACAGTGATGAAATGCTTTTAACACCTCTGGCGTGTGTGTGTGTGTGTGTGTGTGTGTGTGTGTGTGTGTGTGTGTGTGTGTGTGTGTGTGTGTGGTGGCAATGGGTCAAGCCATGGGATGGATAACAGAGAGGTGTAAGAGTGGTTTCCGTCATTACGTTGCCCTCCCTTTTCCCACTGGAAGGAGAACAGGCAGGAAAGGCTGTATGGTTCTGTGAATGACAGGTTGAGCATCATAGAGCCTCTTCTTGCCAGCGCTGAGCTCCCGCTCCACCATCGCAGGGTTGGGGACAACAGGACTGTCTCCCAAGTTCATTTAGCGATGGCAGAGGGGAAGAAGAGACAGGGAAGGTAATGGAAGTGGAGCAGAAGGAATTCCCTGGAGATTTCTGGGGAAGAAGAGAGTCCTGCAGCTGTCTCACTCAGACTGCTGGATTATGTAATACCTTCTTTCATAATTCAGAAAACACAATTCTAGTGCTTGAAACAGTGCTTTGAGATTAAAACAATTTGTTTTGTTTCAAAGGCTTGGATGCTTTCCCTAGAGACTTTTCTTTTGGAAACCACCATGAAAACAGGCTGATTTTTTTTTAATCTTTAAATTATAATGATGTATTTCAACATCTTATTTTTTATTTGATCTAAATAATCAAAGAACAGAATTGATGTCTTTCCTAAGGAAACTACTACTGGCTTTGTCTTAAATGTGAACTTCCTAATGTGAAAGAAGCCAATAAAATTAGTGGATTGTTTACTGATTCTCTTCTTCTTCTTCTTCTTCTTCTTCTTCTTCTTCTTCTTCTTCTTCTTCTTCTTCTTCTTCTTCTTCTTCTTCTCCTCCTCCTCCTCCTCCTCCTCCTCCTCCTCCTCCTCCTCCTCCTCCTCCTCCTCCTCCTCCTCCTCCTCCTCCTCCTCCTCCTCCTCCTCCTCCTCCTCCTCCTCCTCCTCCTCCTCCTCCTCCTCCTCCTCCTCCTCCTCCTTCTCCTTTTTTTTTTTTTTTGATTTTTCAAGACAGGGTTTCTCGGTGTAACAACCCTGGCTGCCTAGAACTCACTTTGTAGACCAGGCTGGGCTCAAACTCACAAGAGCCACCTGTCTCTGCCTCCCACGTGCTTGCATTAAAGGCGTGCAATACCACTGTCCAGCCTGTTCACTGTTTATTAAGCATTCTTACCAGATGGACTACAAAGCTTGCAAGGTGGGCTTTTGTTAAGTACATTTGTTTGTTTTACATATGTTGACTACAGCTTGTTTTTTGTTCAAATTTGGTCTTAGAGAAGATTTTATGTTGAACAGAATAATTCAGAATACTTTTTTTATAACAAAATGGGCAAATTACAGTATTTTGAATGATGTATTATGTCTTCCCTTACTATATCTGCTCTCTAACATAGAAAAGGCATTTCCCATTACTGATGGGGCTTTGTCAGCTTAACAGTGAATGCTGCGAAGCCATGCTGCGCCATCTCCATGGCTCTGTTTTCTACTTGTAGAATGCGTTCGTTTAAATCAGTGCCCACAGAAAGTCCACATTGCAATCCTCTTAGCATTTCTCTTTTGAAATTTATATTCTAATCCACATCTTTTGCTTTCTCTACCCTACAATGTATTTATTAAAGAAGTCATATTTTTATCTTTAGTTTTCAGGTGTATGATTTTGCTGTTTATTTGTGGTAAAGTTAACATAGTGGAGTTCTTTGTAATTTCTGTAATATTATAGTCCTATCTAGACATGTAATTGAATTCAGGTTTATCAGTGGTGCGCATTTCCATTAGGAAATACCCAATATCCAGTTGACTTTTTTATGAGGTTAACTATCATGTATGTTCAGGATCTACATTTAATAACTCATTGAGGGCTTCAAAGTAATGTTACTCTAATTAAACTTTCCACTTTTATTTATAGGGTGGATTATTTCTATAGAACTAAATTCCTCGTTATTACTCAGTGGTGTGAACTATATAGGAAAGTCTAGATAAATGCCTAACTCTCTCTGTACATTTAATTATTTTTAAAACCATGAGTACACTGACCAACATCCTTTAATGGTGATCAGTTCATATTTCTTATCCAGGAATAGTATTGAAATTGCTATATCTTTAGACATCTTTTAAGGTTGAGACAATTGGGCAGAACTTTAAGTTCCTTGCTGTTGTATTTAGTGCTTCAGGTTCATCTTGTAAATATTCTGACTCAAGCTGAAACCTAAACTAGTTGACTTCTGGCTAAGATGCTGGCAATTCTGTTGAACTAGTTAGCTATTTGGATACTTCATGAGACTGTCCTCAGCTTCCTCTTAGGATAGCTACCCTTCCATTCCATCAGCAGTAATTCATTTGGTGTTTTCGTCTTGAAGGTAAGGAGCAGCCTTTGGAGATGAGTATGCATTGCATGGGAGCAGCTCCACTCTCGGGGTTTGCTAAGGAGTCTACATCCTCTCGACACAGCGACCACCATCACCACCATCACCATGAGCACAAGAAGAAGAAGAAGAAGCACAAGCACAAGCATAAGCACAAACACAAGCACGACAGCAAGGACAAGGACAAGGAGCCCTTTGCCTTCTCCAGCCCTGCCAGCGGCCGGTCTGTGCGCTCCCCGTCACTCTCGGACTGAAGTCACTCTCGGACTGAAGTGCTGCAGAGCCCTTTCCAAGGTCCCAACCAGAGGAAGGTGGCATGACAGTCTGGTCCTTGGTGCAGCATGATCCAAGAGGGAATGCAAGGAAACTAAGAGGGCTCTGGAGTCTGGGTGTTCAATTTCTGTTATTTGTGTAACTGGGATCTGAGTAGGAAGTGGGGTTTTTTTGTTTGTTTGTTTTTTTGTTTGTTTTTTGTTGTTGTTGTTCTGGATAAACTCCTCCATCTCTTGTTTCTTCCTGAAAACACAGAGTAACCTCTTTTTACAAAAGCCTTCAGATCTACTGCAGGCCTGTTCACATACTGGTCTCCTGTGGAAAGCCAAGGTCAGGTGTGCTTGAAAGCCTTTGATAGTTGTCGTGGGCAGAAGGACATTTCAACAGAAGCAGCTGCCAGATCTGTGGTACCCAGCGTTTCCATGAAGTGCTAAGCAACACCACTTGGAATTGCTGGAAAGACAGGCTTTTCTATAGGACCCATCCCTCTTGGCTGCTTTCTGTGTTAGTCATAGAAAGTAAGTACCATCATTTATGAGCAAAGGCTCTTGTATTTCCTCTTACCCTAATATCCAAAAAGTTTTGAAAGAAATTATTTTTAAAAACATTTAACGTAACTATCTTTTGATGGTGCATTTGGTGATTTTGATGTTGCAATTTAGCAGAACAGCCAGGTCCACCATTATTCTCAAATCAAGATGTTTAAATTACATTTTGTTTTGCCTTCCATTAAGTACAAGTGAATGTGTTCATATGTAAAATATGTGTTGCTGAATGTGGGTAGTTTACACATGTGACAAGTATTCTTTCTGAAATTACTCTGTATATAAGGCAACCATGGTGCTGCTTGCCTGTAATCCTAGCATTTGAGACATAGAAGTAGGAGGGTCAGTTAAGACCAGCCTGCGACTCATGAGATATGTATCAAAAAAGCAAGGTCACAGAAACTGCTATAGATAACAAAATGTGATGCTTTAAGAAGGTATGACTGTTTTGTTGTTTGTTCATCAGCTTGCACAGAGATAATTTGGCCCACATTGGAGTATATAAGCAACAGTTTAAAAATACGTGTGCAGTGTTTTGGTTTCCTATTTAACATTTTGTATTAATTGTGTGTTTTTTTATTTTATTTTATGTTCTTGTGAATATACCAGGTTGTCCGTTTAATTGTTTTGCATATCCAGTTTTTATCATTTCTCATGTTACTAAAATGTTTCACTAAATTCTTGTTCTCAGAATAAATATTTCTAAGTTGAACGTTCTGCCTTTGTGTCACTGTATCATTGCTGTTACCTTCCTGAGTTTGTGTAAATAATGTGCCAGTGCACATTTGCAAAGAACTGAGTGGGATTTGAACTGTCCCCAGGAGCAGGGTGATTTCAGTAGACGGAGACGAGGCATGGTTTCAGCAGGAGAAACAATGTCTTCAAAGCAAGGGTGTGTGCAGGAATTAGAAGGCAGTGGACTTCACCTGGACTGTAAGCACAAAGGAACTGCGCTCCAGTGGTGTGTGCTTGTTTGAGATGCAATCTCACTGTGCAGTTCTGGCTCCCTCGGATCTCACTGTGTAGACCAGGCTAGGCTTGACTTCATAGAGATCCGCCTGTGCCTCCCAAGAGCTGGGATTAAAGGCTTGTACCATCACATTTAGGCCTGCGATCAGGTGTTGAGGGGCCTAAATGGGACTTACTAATTCAGATTAATTGCATATTGGCCACTTCCAGTTAGTTTTGAGAAATGGAAATTTGGCTCCGGATGAGGGCAGGATCTGAAGACGGGTGAATACAAGAGCGGCAACAGAGAAATCATACATGGGACACTTCTTAGTTTCCTTTTAGGAGCGATGGACAGAAAGGAAGTGCACCTCGGTATGGCTTTGCCAACTCTGACAGCCTGTATCTCCCAGGCTTTATCCACAAAATCATCCCCTCACAGTCTTTGATCATTGATTGCAAAGTCTTTTCATGGCACATACTTTTTCTGAAGTCATCCGTGATTACATAAGCATAGCAAAGTAAAAGAAACAATACGAGCAAACAGCAAATTTCATGGCAACTAAAATACTATAATAAAATCAATTCTTTTACCTCAACATTCTTTTCTTTACTCAGTGAAGTCCTGATCTCACAAGTCTGCTCAGGAAAAACAGGCAGTTCACTGAGTCAAGATGTTTTCTGTGTCTCTGTCTGTTATGAACTCTTGTCCCAATATTGTCTCTATCTTTATTACAATCCTATAAAGAATAAAAGAACACCAAGATTCCTAAATCTGCTTACTTTGCCTTCAGAGGGGTACCCAGGCCCATTGAAAATCTTTTCCTTGTCCATTGTAGTTCCGTATTTCTGGACAAGGGATGAAAACCTAATGATTTAATTGTAACTTGTCCACTTCTGAAATTTCCCTAAGTTTTTCTTTTTAAATGATTTATTCCAGATCCTTCGTCTCATAGTAATTAGTATACTTAAGTAATAAGTCTATAGAAGATTCAATTTCTTATACGCCTAATTCTCCCAGGGAATCGCCATAAGCTTTATTCTTAACATCAACTCTCACAAGAACTGTTAAATTGCCCCAGTCCCAGCCTTTGGTGAGGGGCCCTTAATAGCAAGGAGTTCAAGCATTAAACATGTCAAAGACATAGGCAAGTGTTGTGCAGCAACTTCCAGCAAGGGATGTGAAAGTCACCCGAGCACTGTGATGTTTGTCAGGCAGCAACTTCAGGACACTTGGCATCACCAGAAATTCTTACATTATGGTGCGCAGTAACACGATGTGCAGAACGTGGGACTTCGACATTTCAAAAGAATTTCTTGTGTCCTGGCTGAAAAGAGGAACACTACTAGCCAGCTGCTACATACATAAGTCACAGTCCTAGGACATGGGTCCTTCTGTGTCATCGTAAGCCAGATATTCATACCAGATACTTCTCCAAAAGAACATATGGTGACTCTGGATTCCCTACACTGCTAGTTCATAGTAGACAATTTAAGAAATTTGTTTCTGGCTTTGGGAATTGCTAATCATACATGGTCAATGTAAACATCAGTGTGTCTCAGTCTCCTTCCCTAGAGGCATTTTTCAACAGTATTTTGCTGTTAGAGGCTCATCAACAGCAACATATACATAAACACACAGTAGCTTTTTAAACTTTAAAATGATAGCAGATGATACACACAGACATTGTTAACATTTATTTTATGGTTTCAAAACTTTATGTCATAGTAAAAGGGTTTATAATTCTGGTTCTAGTAGAAGTCTCCTATTGTTTAGAATATTTTTACATGTCTTTGGCTTTTCCTTCATCCAGAGAGAATTCACCTTGAATTTACCAATGAAAGGTACATAGTGATCCAGTTTTTCTTTGCTTCCCAAATGCTGCTCAATGCAGTGCATTAAACACTACAGTTCTCTGAATTTCAAATACTTTTTAATTATTTATTTAATATACATATACAGTCTTCTGTCTGCATGTATGCCTGCCTGCCAGAAGAGGGCACCAGATCCCATTATAGATGGTTGTGAGCCACCATGTAATTGCTGAGGATTGAATTCAATTCTGGTCTACTTTTAGAGTGTGTGGATCTGTCTACTGTGATAGATTTTGATATGCTAGAGTTGATCTTATTTTCAGAATTGTCTCATAGGTTATTTCTTTTTCTTTTTAGCTTGTACTTTACATATGTAAAATAAATGCATTTAGTTTGTGCTCCTTGGCTATTTTTTGTTCTTGAGACAGGGTTTTGCTCTGTGCTTTTGGCTGTCTTGGAACTCTGTGTGGGACTCACTCTGTAGATGAGGCTGGCCTCGAACTCACAGAGATCCACCTGCCTCTCCGTCCTGAGTGGTGGGATTCAAGGTGTGCGCCACCACTGCCTGGCATGTACTTAGATGAAATTTCCATCATCACAGCCCAATCACCCTCAAAAGACCCTTCACCCTTCCAGGCATTCCCTGTGAATCTGAGGTCAGCCTGGTCTAGAGCGTGAGTCCCAGGACAGCCAGGACAACATCAGAGAAGCCCTGTCTCAAAAAACCAAAAGGAAGAAAAAATAAAATAAAAAGAGAAAATTAATTCACCTCAAATCATTACTGAATAATTTTCTATCCTTATAATTTTATGTTTTAACAAATTACCACTGATTAATTTTCATGCTTATAATTTTATCTCTTAATAAGTATTGAATAATTTAAAAAAATACTCTACTATAGCAATGGTTCTCAACCTTCCTAATGCTACAGCCCTTTAATACAGTTCCTCATGTTGTAGCAACCTCCAACCATAAAATTATTTCCATTGCTACTTATAACTGTAACTACTATTAGTATGAATCGTAATGTAAATATTTGTATTTTCAGATGGCATTAGGTCGTCCCAATGAAAGGGTCTTTTGACCCCCAAAGGGGTCATGACTCACAGGTTGACAACCAATGCAACGCAGCCTTGACTAGCCTGGCAGTCACATAGGTCCAAATCATCTTTGTAGCTGATGTTCAGTAGTAATTTTTAATACCTTCATGTGGTTATTCTTACTAGGGAATTACTATTTCTATTTATAATAGAGTTGTTACTCTCAGATTCATGGTAGGGTAATTTATCATTTATAAGCCTGCTGTGGTTGTACATGCCTTTGACCTAGCACTTGGGAGGTCGGACAGAAGGTCAGTGCTCAGGGATGGTCTTGGATGGAGAGTGAGTTGGAGGACATTTTAGACCACAGAACAGAAAGGATTCTAATGGAACTTGTTTATATTGTATAAATCATCTTTTTCACTGTATGAATATTCTTTTTACTGATTTTGTGCTTGGCTGCTGTACTGACTGCTCATTTGCAACATTCAAAGGCATTATTCTATAACTCGTGGTAATTTTATCGCTTTCTATACACGTAAATTTCTCCTTTTGAGTGACTTCTTTCTCTTGCTGAATGAGGGCAGCCAGGCTGGGCACCCACTCAGCTCCGGGCTGCCATTTACCTTCTCTGGGCTTGGCAGCCCTTTCTTGTGCGTTGTGGGTTGGAGTTTCACATTTTTCTTTGTTCCTGGGAAGTTGACATTTGCAGCTTTGTTTCAAGCTCTTATGTGGACGATTCTTCAAAAGAGCCAAAAAGCTACTCATTGCCATCCAAGTGCCCCAGACTCCTTAAAAGGGCGGTCCTCATCCAGATGCACTGGAATCCTTGCTGGCGAAAACGAGACATCTGTTCCTTTCCCACTGCCTACTGCTCATCTCTTCTGTCCTCGTCAGTGAAATTCCTGCAGATCAAATGTACGCCAGCACTGAGTTGGCACCATTGACGTTTAGTGTAGCGTAGCCTTAGTGACTTGCTTCCAACGGATAAACTTGGAAAGGGAAGAATCGCAGGTTTACCGTACAGGTTGCCGACAGCTGCTGCCTCACCTGTCCGTGGTAAGCAGCAGTGAGAAGCTGTGTTGGCGTGACTTTTTGTGGGGCTGCAGAAACGGTTTGGAGAACTCCCACACAGTTCCAGTATCCACGTGGTAGCTCACACCTATCTGTAACTCCAGTTCTGGCCCCCTCAGGCACTGCACGCATGTGGAGCACATACATACGTACATGCAGACAAAAATACCCAGACCCATAGAAATAGATAAATCTTCAGAAAAACACTTTGGGGTTTTTCCGAATGTGGTGTTGGGGAAAGGCACACCGTCTGGGATGAAAACTTGTGTCCTCGGTCTATGGAGTCTATAATCATGAGGAAAACAAGCCTATGTAGATGATAGTTAACCCTCAAAGCTGTTACTGTTGTAAGGAACATGGTAAAAAAGAGGAAATTCAGATTGCAGGAGAATAGGAACAATGCAATCTGAATCCTACAAGAGGAAAAGTACTTTGGTTGGAAAACAGTTGAAATTCAAGTATGTTCTGGAATTCTTTTGGTGTACCAGTGTAGAGGTTGTGGTCCCAGTATTGATAACCCCTAAAATTTGGTATATTGAAACCTGCCCCCCCACCACAGATGATGGTTTTTAAGTAGGGATTCTCTGTGGGACAGTCCTGGCTGTCCTGGGACTCACTTTGTACACCAGGCTGGCCTTGAACTCCCTGAGATCTGCCTGCCTCTGCCTCCCAAGTGCTGGGACTAAAGGTGTGCGCCACCACTACGTGACTATGAGATTAAATCTTTTTTTCAGCTTTAAAAACAAATATGTAATTAATTATTTTGCACCCCAACCACAGTTTCTTCTCCTCTCTTCACAGTCCCCCTACCTACCTTCCATCTGCCCTCCCTCCCCCCCA